TATTTTGCAAAAGCTAATATTTTTCCTCTTATCTTCAAATTGCTTTCTCGCCTCAAAATATTTTTGGAGTGAAATTCCCATTTCATATTTAATTAAATGGGAATTTTAAAAAATTGCCATACTAATTTACAAATGATCTATAAATGAGAACATCATTCAATTTTTAGTTCATTGGGGATGGACCATTGTAAAAAAGATCAGCTCTTTTGCAAAAAGATTTGAAATGAGAGCAATCTTTAAGAAAAACTACAAAAGTTTGCTCTCCAAACAATTTATTCCTTTATTCCCTTATAGATTTGACAAAAAGCTAAAATATGCTGGCAGCCATAGTTTTCGTAAATTGTAGCGAAATGGCCCAAAAACAAAACAAGAATTGTGAACATTACGTAGATTTGCATATCATAGCTTCATATAAAGATTTTCTTAAAGATAAGAATCATTAAAAAAATGAACTGAAGGGAAAAAATTTAATCCGATTAGATTATTAATGAAAAATTGCCATTATAAAGTGTTCCAGGTGTTATTTCCCAGAATTATTGTTGCTGAGCAACATCCATGTCTTGCCCATAATTTAAATCAACCAAATTTAGGTTCATTTTAGATTTATCGATAGATCGTACTTATTTTTTTCGCCAATATATGCTAATAATTAAAAAAAAATATGTAAAATGAATTAACTCCATATAATTTTTTTCAGCAACTTCTTCGCACGACAATTATGAATTCTTTAAATAAAGGGGTAATGATCCTATAAAAGTAATAGCATGGAAATACTTCTAGCTGAATATTATCGCCCTTAAAATGATGATCTAGGCAAATAGTTCATAGTCTGTATTATTTATTGCTTAAACCAAAATATTGCGGATATTAAATTTTCATACTAAATATTTTGTTCTTCAGGTAAATCTGATATTAATTTTGTCGTTACATCAAGGCGATTGTTGCCGCTTTTTTAAAATCTTTTCATCAGCCAAAAAACTTTCAGCAGCTTCTCTAACTTAGAATTTAGAAATTTAGTATCGATAAATCTTGTACCTCTGATTTAGAAATTTAGTATCGATAAATCTTGTATCTCTGAATTTATTTTGTGATTTCTTCTGAAGTTGATAAACAAACATAATTTTGAAAGCGTAGTTTATCCAGCGATACAATCGTTTAGATGGCAGAAGAAGGAATGGCTTCCATTATTTTCAAATATGGCACCAGATCCACAGACTTGGAAAAGCTTAACCCTTGCAATCAGCTTAGGTACTAATTTTCCATGCTGTTAAAAAGAAAAGAATCAACAAAATTATCAATTTTACAAGCACCTCGATTTTCAATTATTTTTATAGCCTATACAATCTATTTAACAAAACAACCAGCCAGAGCAAATGAACACTGAGCATTTTACATCTAAATAGCTAAAAACAAGTTATATTTTTTTTCAAGACTTTTCCAATGATTTTTCCTCATTAAAAGGTTAAAATTAATAAAGACTAGTAAAAAGATTCTTTTGCACTTTACAAACAAAAATTTTATTTTCCAATTATTTATGTTGATTAATACAAGAATTTTTCTCACTTTTCGACTATTCATTATTTAGCAATAGTACAAATTTCTTAATAAAATTTTACGGAAAAGCTTTTCTTAAGTTTCTTTAAGTTTTTGAGATTATTCATTATAGCCAAAAGTTAAACGAATAAAAATAATGAATTATTCATTCATTCAATAATTTTTTGCTGATTTACAAGTTATTTTAGCACAATCAACGTTTTTTCGACTTTTGATTACTTATCATAAATTTCTTATAGAGATTGCTCTTTTTGCTCCTGTATTGCAGCATTCATAATTAGGTTATATGAGTCAGCGTAAACCATTTCTAGTTAGACCAGTTCCACTAGCCGCTAGTACGGTTAAAAATTTTTGCCACGACATCATGTAACGGTAGATAGAAATATATGTGGGCCACCACCACTATCCAGTACTATGAAAATATTTGTGAAAGTATTTCTTTTGTTTCATCTCAGATTCTCTTCCACCTTTTCTTACTGATCTATATTAGTGGGCTTTTACATAAAATTTTTTTTATCAAAAATTTTCTTTCATTAGATTTGATATTTTTTCAACAGTATTTAGCAACTTTTTAATTTTTCGCGTCTAAAGTATCAAAATTTCGCAAAAGATATAGATAGATATATTAAAAGGTAAGCAGTAAAGGTAAGATTTAGAGGACGATCGAAATGGCCTGGAATTGTGTCGAGCACCATAGGTTCGACTCCGCGTATCGATTCAATTGCACCAATGTCACTCGTTAGCTTTCAACTGTGGTTAGCCATAGGAGGAAGCTTAATCAAATGATATACGCCAACCACTTACTTTACATTTACATTTTTATTCAAAATTTTCTTTATCATAACCGCGTTCAAATAACAACTTTAAACTTAAATATATCTCTGCAAACAACAATGGCATAATTTACAAAAATTACATCTTAATAAATAGCCAAAATAAGATTAAATGACCAATTCATAATGGAAAAGACACTATTGAATTTCCAACAATTTTGGTTGAATATATTAGTATTACTTTTTTCTTGCAGCCCATCTTAGATTTATTCATTAAACGAACAAATTAGCATGAAAAGCATTCAGATCATTAGTTGGTGCGTTAAAGAATGAAGTAAATCATCTATCTTATTCTCCCCTCAATACTTTTTAAGAACCATTCGACTGCAAACGGAATTTTCTTTGGTATCCGCTAAGACCTGTCACAGAAAAACCCATTGGAACCTTCCTAAATGCCCCCCTTCTCTCACCCTCCGCCCTTAGCTTGCCATAATCTGTTAGCAACAGCTTCAACCTCCCCAAACAAGTCGTTTATTACCACGAATCTAGAAATATTAATTTATTAGCAAATTTTACTAAGAAAAGGAAAGCTAATGCTCCTCGATTACGAACAATCAGCGGTATTTGAAGTGAATTCGATTAACTTTCGACAAACCAAATTTGAATAAATCAACGATTAAAAAACTTCGCTAAAGGGACATTAAGTGACGAAAAGTGAAAAAATTTCGATAAGTTCTTCTTTGCTTTAGAAAAATAACTTATAAAATGAGCTTATAAAAAATAAAAAGGAAAATCTAATTGGATAAAATAAATCCGTATTGAATAACAATTTTTTATAAGCTGAACTCCACCCAAATGAAATTTTTCCTGAAATTTTTTGATTTCCGTATGAAAAACGATAAAGTTAAATATTTAATCATTGTTTTCTTTTTTCTTCAAGTGAAGCGATTCGATAATTCTATATAATTGAGGAAATGCGAAGATTTATCGTAGTAAATGGCCTTTTATTGCTTTTCTTGCAGTGAAATTAATGATTTAAATTTGAATTCCTGATGTTTCTCGTTTCTTCTTCTCGTATTTAGTACGAATGAGCGCTAATTAAAATGGCTACATTTTCTATGAAAATTATTAGCTATTTTATCCTTGTTTTTTTCGATTTACTATTCGAAATTTATCGTTTTGTAATAAATTTTTTGCTCCATTCCTTAAACCCTACGAAATTTCCATAGGTTATAAAAAACAAATGTAAAAACTTTTAAACATTTTAACAAATTAGGCAATAGTAGACAAATGAAAAAGCATGAAGATTTCTCCATTTAAAACCATACAAATGGATATTAGGTGAAAGATGCAATAAATGAATTTTTTTCTTAATTAGATAGAACAAAAATTATCAAAATCAAAATAAAAAATTATCCACGAAATACAGCAAAAAAACAAAGCACATTTGTTTCCCATTGAATTAAGCTCTCAGACTGAGGAATCGCAGAAGAATTGCGCAAAATACTGAAAATTCTCAAATTTCCTTAATTAGATGAAAAAAATATTCATTGATTATACAGTAGAATTATACAGTTTGTAATAAGAAATGAAAGCTTCAGGATTATTGACAAAAATATATCGAATAAACTCTGCATATGATAACCTAATTAGCTTTGACCATTCTTAAAGGAAATATGTCAATTACACTCTAACTTCCATTATTGGTCAAATGGTACTTGGAAAATAACTCGAAATTTGTCTCATATGTAAGTGGTGAAATTTGGAATGATAAATTTTCGATATCTTTGTGGCTGAATCCTTAGGAAAGAGGTGTGATGTTATAACGACAATATGTACAAAAAATCGTTAATTAGACTTTGCAATCTATAATAATTTGGACCCGACAAAGTTTTCATCATTTTTTTGAAAATATTTTATTTGCTTACAGAAAAAACTTAACTTAGTAGCCGGATATGGTAAACAAATTTAACTGAATACCAAATAACGCCGCCTTTCATCTTTCGCTCTAATTCGAATAGGCCATCACACTTACCCTCCCCACCCATCTAAAAAAATCTTCAAATGGCTCGAAAAAAAATACACCATTCTTAGCAACTTATACTTCATTATCTTATCTAAATCCACAAGAATAGGTAAATCTCTGCTTAAAAATAATTTAATTCAACGATAATTTTTAATTGTTTTGTTCGTTTTTATTTTTCAGCCGAATTAATTTTTCCCATTTAATCCAATGCCCATATATCATTGGGCAGCATATGACCTAAAAATCTTCCCCAACTGTAAAAGTTCAGGTGATGTAACGGCATTATTGACGCAATCCGACTACTTATATTACGAATTGAAATAAAGACAAAGATTTAGCAAGTAATGATAGAAGCGCTATAGCATACAAACCGATATTCAAAGTAATTCTGCCCTAAATGTGGAGATTGGTATTCAGGCAAGCGAAAATCCAAAATCTTTGTCTTCCAAAACCTTCGTCTTCGTTATAAAATATCAATAAAGTGATAGGCACCTAATTGAGCATATGTAACATATTAAACGCATTTGCATGAATAGATTTAATCAAGGACACCATCTATCAAAACGACCTGGAAAAACCACCGAAAGTCAACCACCTATGTAGAAAAAAATGGACACCCAAAGGAAGAGTTATTCGAACACAATAGATTAAAATCCAGGAGGATTCCAACTAATTGTTACTTTTGCGCAAATCTCCTGATACGCTTCCACCGAGTCGTGTTTTTTAAACCTCAAAGTATAATCATTGAATGCAAGACCTACTTCCTGGTTCTCCTTTGCTGATTTAATTACCTGAAAATTTGGAGAGAAACTTAGATTTAAAATGCATTTTAAAAAATTCAAATCTAAAACTAATGAAAAACTGTGAATAAATGAATAAATGAAATATAATGAAACTATTTTCGAAATCATGAATTAAATTTCAACAACGATATTCTTAAACTTGGATAAAGGTATTTGAAACATAAATTTTTCAAAAACTGATTTCCACTTGTAAAAGAAAAGAAAAGAAACCTCATTTTCACATTTCATTGAAATGGCATGGCTTTCACATATTAATTTATTCTTTCGTTTAATACGATATTTACATGACCTTAACAGGAATTTGCAAAATTGAGCCAAACAACTTGAGATTTGCAAGAGAAATTTCTTTTTCAAGAAATTTTCACTCTTGTCTTTAAAAAAAAGTCTGGAAGTCGCAACACTTCATCTATGAAGAACTTCAGCTTTTGAGTTGCATATCGAAATGATCTAGTAAATTTTATAACTGCGTAAAATATTCTAACTGGTTGGGCTGAGAATAAAAAAAAACTGATGAACATGGACAAGAATATTTAAAAATAATACTTATCGAAAATTCCCCAAATAATTCGGATTCCTGCAATAGGCTGCTTGTTGTCATTGAACAAAGGAACGAGGAACATCCTTAAGACTTCACCAACGCCAACCAATTTGAATTCCTTTTTTAATGGAACCCGATCATTTAGAAGCTGTTTCAAATTATTTACCAAATGATATATCACATTGAATGACAAAATTCTGATATGCAAACGTTCAGCTAACATTGTTATCGCCTTAGGAACTGTTATGTTGAAACAATAAACAACAGCTGCAAAATAACGAAAAAGACCAATCTGAACAATTATGAATGCCGCCACAACTATAAGGCGTTTTTCGAGGAAGCAAATGCGTCACTAAATATTGCAAAATTGAGGACATATATTTATGTCAAAGCAAAATCTTTCCCACATACTTGATTAATTAATTATGCAATTTTAAATAACCCAAGAAAAACAGATATTCAATGGCCTTTAATCAATTTACCATTTAACTCCGATGCGATTTCAAGATCATTTTCGTTTGGTGCTCCTACACCAAAATCTACTAATTGAAGATCGACTTCTGGTGATGAATATGAATCGATTACGTTCAAAAGAACTTCCAAGGTGCCATCAACATCGCTAAATATCATAATTTTTAATTTAGGATGACCGTCGTCCACCATTTCTTTTGTAAAACGATGTTCCTATAAAATTATGAATAGCGAAATAATTAAGATTTACAGAAATTATTAAAACAACATAAAAAGCAAACGATTTCAAAGCATGTAATAACGTTAAAAATAAAAAATAACTAAAAATATGCAGAAATCTGCAGGTGAATCAGTTGTCTGATTCATTTTATTACTAAATTATTACTTTATGCACTATCATCCGATTGACAGAACCATGACGAATGCCTCTATTATATAAAGCTTTTCGATTTAATAAATAATTCATTCGATCTTCCTCTCTTTGTTTTTCGATGGCTTTCTGTAAATTCCTTATTTTTCGCTGGAAAATATCCATTGATATTAGACATTTTTAATAATAAATCCCATTTGTATTTTTTCAAAATAAATCAGAATTTAGGCTTTGGCTTATATTTCGTTTTGCAATTAAGAACAGACCAATATTATAAAAATTAAGATTCAGCCAAATATAATTCCTGATTGGAGAGCGAAATTTTTGATCAAAATCTATACCATGTAAAAAGAAGACGGAAAATACAATTTTCCTCATATTTCAGCGATAAAAATTACTATTTTAAAATAATTTGCAAAAATTTAATTTTTAATTTCGAAACATTACAAAATTGCATGAATTTACTAATTCTTCATCCCTTTTGGCAGCCTTATTTTTAGCAATCCTACACTGCGTAACTTTGCGAGCATGATCAACACTTTCTGCCTCGATTACGACTTCACCTGGACTGACTAATTCATTCCTCCAGCCAGAAACTCGAACTGGAATGCTCGGACCAGCTTCATCCACTGTTTTATTAAACTCATCAGTCATTGTACGAACCTGTAACAAAATATTCTGAAACAAAAAAACCTAATAAAATAAAAACATTAGGCCAATGAAAACATTAAAAATATAGTTCCCTACTTTATAGTTAAACACTTGTGTGTTATTATTTCAAAATGATAATTTATATAGCACAAACCTTACACCATGACGTACCAGCAACTAAAATTGAATTTTTCCTTAACGTACCCCTTTGAACAATCATTGTACAGACACCACCTAGGCCTTCAATATTGTTTATATTACAGGCATAAAAATGAAAATTCACTCTATAAATATTGATATACATGAAACTAGGTAAATAAATATAAAAACATCTTAAATTCTGAATAAAAGTCTTAATATATTTATATACCTTGAACCATTGTTGATTCAATAATTGTTCCTTCAATTCTACCCTCCGACGTTGAAAATAAATCAAGATCTTCAGCTAACAGAAGTATAGCCTGCTAAAATAATGAATGGAATGAAATCAATATCATGCAAATTATACGTAAATGAAAATCGGCTCGTTACAAGTAGATAGCATATGCCAGGTGTAGATAGCATATATTTATATATTTTTTTAAAGAGTCCTCACCATTACTGGTTAAACTCTCTCCACTGACTTGTCGCATTGGGCAATATGCCAGGGAGTCCATTGGCGAAAGAAATACAAGTGAGTCGCCAGCATCACCCAGATATACATACATATATAAATATATATATGAATGATTATTATTTGGCATTACTTTGAGAGAATCGATGTTTTTTCCAAGTAAAGCCGAAATTTCGACTGAGAGAATATCCCCATCGAAATCCTCGACCACAACACCATGTTCAATTAAGGATTGTTTAGCTCGTAACTGAATAAACTGAATGAATAAATCAAAAGATTAAGGAAAAGTAAAAAAAAATTGGTATTTGAAGCATTCAATATTCAAAAAAATCGGTGACACATACAGGATTAGCATTGGGCTTATCGCATTTGTTAATGGCAACTATGATAGGCACACCAGCTTCTTTAGCAAATCTGAAAGGGATGAAAGCAGATAAACAAATGCAGAAAAAACAATTCTGAGATCAAATATGTAATAACTCGACCAAATATTCTGTAATAATGGAATGTATTGAAGAAATAAATGAATGACTTGATCGACTGTACTGTTTGGTCTTTTACACCTTCTTCAGCGGCCACAACCAATACAACAATATCAGTTACTTGAGCTCCACGCTGTCGCATTTTCGCAAATGCCGCATGCCCAGGTGTATCCAGAAAAGTCATTTGAGTATCGCAATCATTTACTGAAGAAACAAAAAAGAAATCGAAAAAAGCATTTGTGAATTCAGATTCTAAATTTAAGGAACAACTGATTTAACTGACATCTAATAAAAATTAAACGACATTCCTTCTGCTTCAAGGTTAGGCAACGATGTGGAATAGACACTTCTCTATTTAGAAGATTAAATGTTAAAGATATTTTTAAAAAATAATATGGCAAATTATCGTACATGTAAAAGCGCCGATATGCTGAGTTATGCCCCCGAATTCCGATTCAACAATGCGCGATTTTCGAAGGCAGTCGAGCAGCGTTGTTTTACCATGATCAACATGACCCATGATAGTAATGATGGGGGAACGCTTATGACATTTTTCACGAGGTGGTAGTGCTCTAAAACATCTCATTTAAAAAAATTTAAGCAGAAATGAAGATCTTATTCAACTAAAACTTCCAGCCGACGGAACTAACAAAATTTTTGAGTAAAAACTGAAAAAAAATGAAGTGGAAAAAATAAATACGAAAAAAATGCACAAAACAAGGAACAATGTGGAAACGAGGAATACAAACTGTGGAATAAGGTCAACTGGATCATTATTATCAATCGCCTGCTTCGGCCGAGTGACTAACTGTGGTTTCATATTGAAAATACTAACTATTTTCAAAACATCTTCGCGACTTACACCTAAATTAATGGTTTAATTGAAAAAGTCATTTTGAAAGAATGAGAGGATTTGCGCTGAGAGAGATTTTTGTGAAAAAAATAATTAAGCTTGCGTTGATAAATTGTAGCAAGACATAATAGTATTACTATTAATAATTCATGAAAAAATAGTAACAATTCATGAAAAAAAATTTATATTTTTTTTAAAACCTACGTTCATTCCTTTGTAGACTGGCACCCATATCACGTAGTAACTGGGAAATATCTTCTTTTGTTGCATTCACAGCTGTGGCTAATTCACTAAAAATCTTAAATAAATGTGTGATTATGTGCTGAATTCAGAAACTTTTATCTAATAAACCGATATTAAACACTAATGCTGTAGATTTCACTTATATTTTTCTATGGTTTAAATAGTAACAGTACTTTTCTATTTTATAAGCTTCTATTTTATTCAGCAAAAACAATACAAAAGACTCTTTGTCAGTGCGGAAAAAGAGTTTCTCGGATTCATTGCCTAGAGCTTGAGGGAATTTTTTCTCTGGTAGGAGCAAATATGAAAAAAAAAGTGGTGCTGGCAAGCCATCTATAATTTTATCGCCAAGTGACTGGCTCTCTCCACATTAGCAACTGCTGTAAGCCTGAATAGAAATAACGAACAGTGAGCACTGATCACTAATTAATTGCTTTATTAATTGCTCACCTAAAAATTGAAGCGTTACAAATGAACTAAGTCAATGAAGAGATTTGAAATGGTTGCAATCTCTACAAAGTAAACTGGACTTTCCAAATGCTCATAACTGCAGCACATACCTTTGCGTCATCTCGTCATATATATTTGCCACTGCCTTTTTCCCTTTTTGATCAAATTTCTTTAGCACAATAGGCTTGACGATTTGTCGTCTCCTTCGCAGCAAATAAAATGATTGCGTAAAACTCCTTGCTGATCCAAGGCTATTTAATTTAATATATAACGGTAACAGTGGCTGTATCACTGGCAACCAGCAACGCACAATAAGTAAGACCGATTGGATATTCTGCATAATCAAGACTATAAAGATGGTTTAAATAAAATAGGTAGAGAAGATTTACAAGTTTGAATCAGAATGCAGATTTATTGAAAGCGGCGAACAAACATGATTTTTAACAATAATGAGTTACAAATAAATAAAATGACAGGCAAGAATTTGATTATGCTACCTAATGGCTTTGCCAACGGCGCTCCCAACCAACTTTCTACCACGATTTTCCAGCAAATCTCGGCTTTTAAAAAAGCTAAAAAGAGGGATGAAAATTAGAATAAAAAATGCAAGCAATATCGAAGAATAAACAATATCGCATGGAGAAAAAGTCTGTGAAATTTTCAAAGCATTTCATCAATTTCTTTTTGCAACATCAATGATTAGTGACGAGGAAAAATATCCAAGAAAATTTTATGTTCGGGTGAATTCGCTGCTCCGATCCGAGCTAGCGGCGAGGCTTCCACGACGTGTCTCCCTGTCCAACTCAACTGCTTGCCTTGCCGGGAACAAACTCTGTGCCGCTGCATTCTTCTAACAGCCAAAAGCGCGAGCAAGCAACGAGAAATAATGATAGCTAACTATGCTTAGAATAAATCTAATACGATAATCTATTCAGAACAACTCATTTTCATTTCAATTTAATTACATAAAACAGTTGAAAACCAAAACTTTCTGAAAGAAATATTGGAAATTCTAAAAATCAAAAAATAAAGAAGAAAGGAAACCCATCCAACAATTTAGCTTTGACATATTGATTCCCTTAAAATAGCGGACTCGAACAAATTGCCCGATAAATGGAAATACTGATAGTCGGCCTCACACGTAAAGTTTCTAGCATTGTTTAATACGACACCAGTTTCCTTTTATCAGCCAGAGAGTTGTTGCGAGGGATGGAGTAGTTTGGGAAATGGGTGACTGTATCATTATTTGTAAGTATTTATAAGTCATGGTAGTTGAAGAGATGGAGAGTGCAGGGTCCTGCACATAAAGTAAAGGTGCCGTTTAATAGTTGTTTTTATGAAAAGATCGGAACAGCAGCCAAGCCGGTGAAGTTGTGTTCGAGAAACATCAGGCGATAAGGTTTCGATTTTTGTATGCTGTCGAAACAAAGACATCAATAAAAGTGAAATCCGAACAGCTGCTACAACTCTGCCTGTTCCTCCATTCCTCAGTGATTTTCTGATGGAAGAGTCTTATCTTAATGAGGTATGGTGTGTGGTGCTGTTATTGATGGTTGTTGGCAATGAGAAATTTTCATTTAGGAGCCACCAGAGAGGTGGAAATATTGGTGGAATATTTTCCTCGCGGATTTTTCAGTGGCAAGCCACTGTTGAATTGCCACGCTTTGAGCAACAACCTTCCGGCTATCTTATCTCGTTTATAGCGTTGTAAGATTTGGATGAAAATATCAAACTTTTAGAATTGTCAAAGAAGAGAAATAATTTTCAAACATACAAAAAATAATCAAATGGGAATCAAAATAGTAATTAGGAATTTATTCCAAGTTAGAGTTGAATATGCAATAATTGGCTTTGTTTTGTATTCCTTTCTTTGCATTTACATCTCCAAATTGAGAAAATGGTTGCCGCTCATTGTAAGCAAATGTTAGCACTCACCATTTTTGGTCAAACTTCCTTTACTATTAGCTATTAGAGAATTTTTGCCAGAGAGAGTGGCAGGCGAGTCGCCAGTCCACCCGCCATTTCATTATAGATCTATGTGGTAGTTAAATAGTCAGTCAGTCGTGTTTCTTGCTGTCAGTTTCTAATCGTGTGGGATTCCCATAACGCAAAGTATGAAATAGACTAGAACAAATTACTGAATTTTATTCAAATATGTTTTCCCTTACGGTGGTACACAGTAATCCTTCTAAAACAGCAGCATAATCATCACAATCTTTAGGAGCAGAGTAGATGAATAGTTTGTTACATTTAATATTTCTTATATCAAGGTTCGACCTCTGATCCCAGCAGCAGTAAGCAGCAGTTGTCTTTTGTGTCTGTTCTTAGCGAAATTGCCTCATTCTATAAACAACCAATGCAATTAGTCTAACCAGAAATTTTGTATACCTGTCACTTACTAAACTTTTAGCAGTTGCAATCCATAATAAAAGACAACTGGAGAAAACCAAAAAGACATTCAATTTCTTAAAAACTAATTTATGATCCTCATTTTAATTTTGAATATTTTTGTCGATTTTTATTTTTTTGAAACCATTGAAGAATTTAATAAAAGCAAGGTAGATTTATTGTTATTTAAGGGAAATCAAGGTTTGCTTCGTTTATGGTGTTTTAAAATGTTTTTTATGTTTTTTCTTATAGAGAATAAGAAATCAAAAAAAAAAAGAATGTCATAATTGTCGTTGAGCAATCGGTTCTTTTATTTTTTCTGACCCATTTCGATTATTTCTAAGGTATTATTGTGAAGTTTTTTTTTTCTTTCTCGAAATCTCCTTTTCAAACGAGCTAAGTTTTTTTTCCTCTTTTCCTAAATTCAAATAGAATTTTAAATAAAATATGCATATTTATAAAGCTTATAATGTTATAAAATATATAATCTCATAAAATGATATGTCTGTCTTAGGCAGGAATAAACCTGTTATGTCAAAAATCCGAGTGGCTGCTGGGGACCCGTCTGTATCTCTATCCCCAAGTGACTCTGTAGTTAAGGAGTCAGATATTCTTGATACGGCGTCTGCGTCTCCCGATGCGCATTATACTCCCAGCCCGTTGGTACATGCCGTAAGTGCCTAATCCGGGCTTAAAAAGATCCCGAGGCTTATAAATAAAATGTGCTCGTAAGCCAGGGAAATCGCTGGAAACCTATTAAGGGGAACAGCTCTCTGCACGCGTGGCGAGGTTTTAGCCGTATCGACATAGAACGATTATGGGTTGCAAGCCAAGCGATCACTATACATACCCTTTCTAAATATCGTGTGGATATCGCTTGCTTGTCGGAGGTCCATCTTCCTTATTTCGGGTCTCGAGTGATTATTGATCCTGAATCGGAGCTGGCTAATCATTGTGGTGCTTCGGATAACTCTGAGCGAAATGGCGTAGCGATTGTCATGTCTGACAAGGCCCATTCTGCTTTGATTGAGTGAAACCGGTAAGCCATCATATTGCCTATGATCGTTTTAAGGGTAAGCTCTGCAATATTTCGGCCATCAGTTTCTATGCTCCAACTCTGTCTGCAGATGACCGTGATAAAAGTAAGTTTTATGCGGAACTTCAACTGCTAACAAAGTCTCAACCAAAAAATGACATGGTCATAATCGGGGGTGACTGTAATGCACGCATAGTTTATAATGCCGCTGCGATGACTTCTACAATTGAAATATGGCATCAGAAACCGGTGCGCCAATGGGTAACGCCTTCTTCGTTATGCCGAACCTTTTATTACTAATACTTCCGGCATCGTAGGAAACATCTATTCACGTGGAACTCTCTGGATAGCGAATATAGCCAACACTTCAACCAGATTGATTATATTCTAGTTAGTCGCCGTTGGAAGAGTTCCGTACTCGATAGTCGTTCCTACCGCGGCGCTGAAACGGGGAATCTTCATGGATTTGACCATGTTATGATTCGAGTCAAGATCCGCATAAAACTGACAACTCGCAGAAAACAGCATCCCCAAAAATCCTTAAACCATCTCAAACTAAAAAATTCGGGGGCAGTGAGCGCATTTCAAACTGAATTATTGAAAAATCTCAGTGATACAAATATCAATTGAAATTCAGCCAAATTCGCTAAGGCATACTAGTAGGAGGTATACTAAATGGGTATCGGAAGGATCAACTGTCCAACTGTCTGAAAAAGTTGCCAAAGCACGAGTATCAGGTAATCCTGAATGCCGGATGCTTCGAAGATTTGCAATGAAAGCAGCGCGGTAGGAGGACAGAAATCGCTATTGGAGTGACAAGGCCTCAAGAATGGAGGCGGCGGCTTGATTAGGAAATATTACGAAACTATTCCGCCTTCTTCTTAAAACAATTCTAACACGGGAAACAATCAGTGAAATGATAAGGGATAGCAATGGTGTGCCTATTAAGAATATGAAGGATCACCTCATCAGATGGAAGGAATTCTTTGAGGCCAAACTTAACCATGAAGCGCCATCTGTTGCCCCTGATATAGTTGATACGTTTGCCTAACCATACGCTTGCAATTGCGAGCCTCTAATAGAAGAAGAAATAATTTCAGTTATCCATAAGCTTTAGGCCAATAAGACTCAAGGGGGAAGTGGTTTTCGAGCTGAGCTATTCAAATGTTGTCCATCGTCCTTCATAATGCACCTTCAACAAAGTACTCTCTAGTATGGAAAAAAGAAATATTACCAGATGATTGGAGCAAAGCAATTTTGCTCCCAATTCTCAGGAAAGGTGAGAGGATATACTGCAATAATTCATCGATGAATCAGCCTACTAGACGTTTCAGCAAAAATTTTTGCTTCTCTTTTACTCAATAGACTTATGGAAGTACGAGACAACAGGATGCGCCTTATTCAAGCTGGATTCAGATCAGGGCGTGGTTGTGCTAACAGATATTTATGCTAAGAAGGGTGCTGGAACATCGCTTCAAATACCAGCAACCCACCGTCACTTGCTTCATCGATTTTGCAACTACCCTTTCGATTCGCTTGATAGAGCAGCGCTCTGGAAAGTGATGAAATGTGAAGGTGTTCCAGAGAAGATCATTCAGCTCATAGAGGAATTTTATCAGCATACCCTGGCACAGATCTGTGTATATGGGGAACTGACAGACTTCTTCAAAATAAGAACTGGTGTCTTTCAAGGTTGCGTCCTTTCCCCTATAATATTCAATTATGCGACAGACTGGGTAATTGTCACCGCTTGTCGGTACAGAGGTGTCCAAATCAATCCATAGCATCGTATCATAGATCTTGAATACGCTGATGATGTAGTCCTTTTTGCTGTCAGTTATGATGAAATGGAAATAATGCTAAATAACATGTCAGAAACTGCAGCAAGAATAGGACTCAGGGTCAATGTATATAAAAAAAGTCAATGAAATTTCGTCTTACGTACAAGAAGTTAAATAAAATGTCTCTTTTGCTTCATTGCCGATCAAGGAAGTGCTCGATTTTAAACACCTTGGGTCCACTCTAATAGCAAATGGCCAAGCAAAAGACGATATAATAGCCCGAATCACGACAGCTAGCAATGCATTCTTCTGGTTGACGAAACCTTTATGGAGCCATTGTGAAATTACCACTAAAACAAAAGTCCATTTCTATATAGCCGTGATTCGTTCGATCTTGCTATATGGTTCTGAGACATGGCCAATGATAGTAGAGGATATTAAGAAGCTATCTACCTTTGACCACTTTTGTCTAAGGTATATTTTACGGGTCCGTTGAGCGGATAAAATATCACATGATCGCATCCACTTTCGTTCAAATATCACTTGCATTAATGAAGTTATCATAGAGCATCGCTCAGTGGTTAAGGCACGTCGTCTACCACAAGAGTTGTCGCATATTTCGTTACTTGCTAAATAGTGTGATGGATAGCATCAAAAGCGAGGTGGGCCAATCAAGACCTGGACTGACACGGTCAGAAAAGATTTTGGACGTATGGGTGGACCAGATATACATAGGCTTAGACGAAGAAAAAAGAATTGCTTCTATTACTGTCGACGATGACATCAGACCGCATCGCTTGGAAGTCTTACCCTTGTAGCCGTTGAAACCAGCCTAACCAGTAATGATGACAGCTGTTAGAAAAAGAAGAAGAATCGGAATTGGCGAAAATTGCATTTTTCTTAAAATCATGGGAAGTCGTTTCGGACGAAAAAACAGTGGTCAAATTTTACAAAATGTATTGAAATATCGAAATTAGTAGGAATTTATATTAACAATTTGTATGATGAAAAGGATGTCCAAGTGGTATTTTTTCTTCAGTTTGCATGGATTTGATTCCTATCGTTATCTGAAAACACTTCATCATACCCTTTTTCATCAAAAAGGTAAATTTTTTCTCTCCAGGCGACAAAAGAATTTTATCTTAAAAATCAGCGGAGCCAGTGGAATTAGAAATGATGAATTTTGTTAAGAGATCATAAGTTGTAAATCAAATTTATTCGCACAACTACAACAATTATTCGATTTTCTTCTGCATACAGTCAATAAATTATTAAGGAAAAAAATTTTTAGATACTAAATAGTATTACAAATAATAAAAATAGTAATAATAATCTATGCACAGCACTTTCGATGTTTTCGATGTTTTAATCGCACATGGATTATTCTTTGCCAAACGTTTGTAAACAAATTGGAAATGACAATGTGATAATTGAGTGGCATTGAGAAATATTATAATTTCCTTCGCATAAATTTTTTGGCCACTTCTCCTCCTGCTCTTCCCTCCATTCCTCCCCTTTTCCCCTTCCACTGGCATCTAATTTATAAGAATTTCAATTTCTATTATGCATCATATAGATGAAAGAAAAATAACGAAGAAAACAATCGTAATCGATGCCCGCCAACTGTTATAATGAAAATTATCAGGTGCATTATTGAAAGATGAATGCGACAAAAATGAAGCTAAACAATGGAAAGATAATTTTGCTGAACTCAAAAGCTTATCGTAATAAAATATGATAAGTTTTAATAAATAAACAGAAAAAGAAGGATGTACACATAAAAATTCTCTTTCATCGTCACATTACTTCCCTAATAATCATCCAGAACAAATTCATTATCTCTGTTTTTTTACAATAAATATTATATATTAACTTAGTAACAGAAATAAAAGATACAAACACATTTTAACATTTTAAAAAGTTAAAATTTTAAGTTTAAAAAAGTAAATAATTTAGGCATTCGATAATATGGTTTCATATAGAATTTGAATACCTCAGAAGCACAAAAGCCGCACAGCCGAAAGGTTGTTATCTCGAAGCATCAGGATTTCAGGATTCAAATCCTACCTCCAGCATGAATAAACTTGTCATTAAAAAATCTGGATGGTAGGCGGCTCACCTATATTTCTACCATAATAAGATTCTAATGGAATGAACCTAATCAGAAATGATAAGTGTCCACTTATTTAACCTACAACCAAATATTCTTTTAAAAATGAATAAAATGGAGGATGAATAAATAAAAATGTCCACATATAGAATATAGAATGCAAATAAGAAACAGATATAACGATTTTTAGCAATATGATTTAGGCCTGTTAGGTCTGTTTTATTTCCAAAACAGACTATAATCACTCTTAATTAGCCAATATTTTATATGATTTGGTTTAATTTGCCCAGTAAATATACAATAATGAATCGTTGAGTTGTTCTTCGCTTTTGTTCACCAGAAAGCAATTACTTTTGCACGGCAGGAGAATTTAAATCATCATCTAATCCGTTTGTTTCCCTTTAGTTAGCCAATTGCAACTTTGTTCGAAAAATCCCTGGCAAAGCGGAAATCGTTTCCTCCATTTTTCAAACAAATAGAGGTGAAGATAACATGAAAATGCCACAAAATAAAATTTAATTCATGAATGGAAAGGCGCTTAAAGAACAGAGTTTTAAAAAAGGAAATGATACAAACAATCCGGATGAATTCCATGACCACTAATCATTTTTGATTCCATAATATAGGATTAAAATGGAAATCATAATAGTACTATGAGATCCAGATTAATCAATAGACATTAATGCTGATCGAGGTTACACACGTATATATTATATATGTATATATATATATATATATATATATATATGTCATGTGAAGATGGACTGATGAGAGACACATGAGACATAGACTATAGTTTATCAATTTTGATATTGCACATTAGTAGTTGGAGCCCGACAACTCATTCTAAGCGCCAAACTTTTTTGATAAAAATCCTCTGTTGGGTCTGTGCCAAATGAACTTATTGTTGATCTGAAATAACATCGTATCATATTTGATAGTTGACATAGGGATTTACCTAAATTGACGCTAATTGGGCCATATTAATTATGAGAAGAATAATATAGGTGTGAATTTTGACCAAATGGAATTTTAAAATATAAATAAGATTTTGACAAATGTTCTTCAACGGGTAGGAAATTAAGAAATTAAGACTGAGATAGAATGGGGCAATACTTTATTCAGATAAAGGTATCAAAATGTTCAAACAATAATCAGCTATTTTAGTCGTATAACAAGTTAATTAGCAAATGAAAAAGCGACAAATTATACTGAAAGATTGATAATCCACATAACAGATAAGATTCGCATCATAGGATTAATTTAATAGATGAGCCCTTCTAAGACTAATGCAAAATTTTTTAAAAATTTAGAATGATGTCAAATTTGAAGTTGCCCGACACATATTGAAGAATTTGAAATAAATTTATAAAATTATGACCAAGAAAATTTCAAATTAACAAAAGGTCACGCAAAGGATTTCTATCTAAATAAAAGAAAATGAAAAACGCAGAAGATTAAAAATTTGATTAAATAACAAACTTATCCTCGCGCTATTTGCTTCAGATTATGTCGATGCTGAACATACTTTTTAAAATTTAAAAGGATTTCAGGTTTAAAGAATTTTAAACAAATTTAAGAATAAATTTTGCATGAATATATTATATACAGACTGCGTAGTGATGAATAGACTCACATACATTCTTCATGTGATTCTCTGGTCAAACATGATTATCTCAATAACTACTGCGGCTATATAGGAAGTGATCAGTGCTATCAGAAAAAAAAGAAAATATTGTAAGAAATGGTATAAAACAATAAATAAATTTGCCTTGCATGAAAGAGGCATTCTTGGGTAAAAAGAAATTATTGCTGGAAATTTCAAGATCTAAAATCTAAACGAGAGAGGAATTGATAAGTTTGGGAGAATGCCAGTTATAGGTCTGATTAATCGAAACAAATGACAACGAATGTACTTGGCAGAAAAAGTTTTAAATAATGATGAATAGACTCACATACATTCTTCATGTGATTCTCTGGTCAAGCATGATTATGTCAATAACTACTGCGGCTTCTAAATAGTGACCACAGTTACTACAACTTCAGCTCGACCGAAAGAACTTAGCTACAAACGATGTTCGGATAATCATTCTAGTTCCATAGCTTTAACAGCTTTAATGCAAAATTTCTCATTTATTTCTTCAACCGCCATAAAGTTTTGGTCGAAAAAAGAATTGTTAACAATCACTTATGAATATAATTTCTTGTACAGTGCTTAAAAGAGATAAAAAATTACCCGGCCATTGCATTGCTGAAACCTGAAGTTGACACAGCGCCATATGGCTGAGCTGCACTTGGATATGCCATTGGCCGTGGTACTGGATATGGCTGATACCTTGATTATTTACATGTTAGAATTAGATACATTTGAAATATTTAGTTTACATCGATAAATTTACTAAATATCTATCTTCTGAGTTGAGTTTGCCAAAAATTGAAAAAAATTAGAATGACTAGGCAAAGTTTTACCAGAAAGAATCAGCAGCAGTTCGCGCAGACATCGCGCTAGGTGGATACATTGGTGCTCGCATAATTTGTCCTGCTGTTTGTGGTGGGAACATAGACTGTGGAACAAGAGCTTTTGATAGTTGTTTCTCTTGTTTTCGATGCTTGGCTCTTCTATTTTGAAACCATACCTTAAATAAAATCGTAAAATTCAGTCTGAAACCGCTTATATATTTGAGGATAGACGATTTCTTGCACTTGTACTTGCACTTTTTTGGTGACAGTGACAAGAATGTAAACCCGGAGAATCTCCTAAAAATTATTTAAAAAATCAATCCAATCCAATCAGTCTAATAGAGTTCTGTTGTGATGTATCGCCTCTGGACCATTTAGCAATTCGCTTTGCATTGAACTTGATTTTTCTTCAAAATTAGGAATATTTAAAAATTTATTGATCCTTGAAAATTTGGCGCTACTTGTAATAATCAAAAACTTTTGTTCTGAAAATCGGCCTTACTGCGATCACTGATATAAATTCAAATTGCAAATGTGAAACTCTCAACCAGCTGAACAAGGTTGGTTTACTTACTAGTATTCAATTAATATTCAATTACTACTAAAAATTTTTTTCAATTGCAGCATTCCAGATTCTATTTTCCACTTTTCAGGGACTAAAAAAATAGTTTTATATAGCATTAGAAGTACAACAACAAGCCAAATAAAATTAATAAAAACAAGGACGATCGGGTTGCCAGACAACAATAAGAAAAAAGAAATTAAATTTTTTTTTGCAGCGAATAAATGGACTGAAGTGTGAAAATCTTCACATTTTGGCTACCACACGAGCAGCAGCGGAGTAATTATTAAAATCTGAATATTAAAAAATCGAGAAGCAAGGAACCTATGAATACTTTTATCGGCGAGTGACTGAATGATATTTCTTGTCGCAGTCGGTGGACAATGCCGCTCCATAAAAAATGAGCTGACCGCTACCTTCATATTCCTAGATGCTGAGACTTATATTCATTAAAAGTTCGAGGTAAAACAAAGGTATTCATATGAAGGTATTCATTATCACTAAGTCCTAAGTCCTAAGTCCAGTCTGTATTTATTAAGTCACTATAAAAAACACGACAATATATATCTTAATAATTTATGTCGAAATCACTTAAAATTTTTTCTCTCGTAAACATTTTTTCATGGATTCTTACTGTAGTCATTATCTTCATACTGAAACGAGAGCAGAATTGGGCATTTATTCGACGAAACAACGATTTTTGAGTTATTACGCTTCAGTCGTCATAAATGCGTTCTGAGCGAAAGCTAATTAAATTCCGAGAATAAGGAACGATGAAATGATTAGGGACTTGAAGTGACTGCCGTGGGCACACAAAACAAGTTATACGGTATAAGGCGATCAATTCAATTCTTGTGCCCATGATGTATGAGAGACTTAAAATGAGACAAATTATGACCGCCTAAGGGCAAAACAATGGGTTACGATAGCAAATGCATCCGTTTATAATCCCTAAGTGGGATGATTTGCAATTACTTGGACAAATGAAGAAATTTCATGCTATTACTTTTTGGATTTAATTACTTTTCTTTACTCGTCATTATAAAATAAAAAATACAATCTAACATCGCTAGAAGTTTTTTTGGATTTCTGGATAATGCGATAAATAAATTTTGCTGTAAAAATTCTATCATATAAGGTTACTTTGTCCATATAATATGTTCATTTGGACTATAATTTCCGAGTTCACTTACTTCATCCTATTAAACGAATTAAATTTATAACACGGCCACAAAAATTCTTAGCAAGGATGGCACTAACAAGGATGGAATAGAAAATAAAGCCCGGGAAATCAAGTTAAAGCTCACAATAATTAAATATTAAGATAAATAAATAAAATTAATTCGGTTTTATGAAGAATGTTTTAACACGTGAAGAATAAATCTTCAACTATTTAATCCTAGCAAATTCACGTATGCATTTCGAAACTTTCCCTATAGAATAATTTATATATTATTATAAATCAAATATGATAAGCGAACAGAAAAAGAAAACCAAAAAGTCCATTTAAACTGAATTATTAGGAGGACATATAATTTCATCGCAGAAAGATTGAGTTTGAACGATTGAAAGGAATCGTTTAAAAGACGGTTAACTTGCAATCATTGAAACTCTAATTGGAAAATAAATTCAATTTTCTTGGCGCTTAAGACTCATTAATTTCACCAAAAAAGGCAATCTTTAACAAAATCTATTATCCATGATTTATTGAGATTAATACACTAATAGTATTGCTACATGTTAAAAATCAGTATAACCTCGCAGGTAAAATGGATCTTAAAGCAAAGAAGAAAACTACTCAGATAAAAAATTGAAAAATACGCTAGAATCCCATTGCATGATCCCATAATGTTGTAGTAGTTGCAGTCACATTCTCCTGATTCTTTCCTAGATTCTGCCCATCTGCCATCTTCAACACAATAATTAAGTGATCGACTTACATCTATCCCATTTAGTTACTTATAACGATTGATTGTAATAAATTATGAAAAGATATGTTTTTAACAGAAGCTCACTGCTAGATTGATTGTGTTAATAATATTCCATCAATGAATCTGATAATTTTCATATGCTGCACTATTTAAACTATCTCTACCTATTATGTCAATAAACCATTTGAAATTAGGATTATAGAGAAACTACTGCAAGAACATCCAGAGTTATTGCTCTTCAAACTTTGAATCATTGAATTTACAAGAACTATTTAATACGGATCCAAAAGATTGCCCGGAAAATTTATTGAGTCCACAAACCAAATGATCTTAAACGATCCATTTCAAATTTTTATCGGAGTTTTTTGGATATTTCAGTTGTTATTTTCGGTTGGCAAATTGAATAATAGTAAATTTTTCGTATATCTAAAGTTAATGAAATCTTTGACTAATCTTTTTTCTTTCCTTCAATAGCACTACTTCATTAATGCCCTGTTCGATCTTATTTTAAATAATTCGTGGTACTTTGGAAAGAGACTTTCTTTCATGATTTGTTTGTTTACTGCGTTACTAAATGTCAATTTAAGCAACACAAATTCCACTTTTAGACGATGTTTTAACAAACTTATCAATAATTCATGCCAATTTTAAAATGAATATTTTGTATAAAAATACATTTTTATAATAAATAATGATGAATTCCGTTGAAATATTCGCATCTTGATTTTCAGTAATGTTCAAATCCAGCCCTCAGCGAAGAACGATATTGTGTTGCGATTTCAAGGCACAGATGGCGCAATGTACAATAGAATAGAACGTTGGCAAGAATATCCCGCTGAGTTTAACTGCGGTCACAGAACTAATTGCCATAGAACAGATTACCTAAGAGCTAATAATTACGGGTTGAAGTGCGAACACAAGTCAAATATTATCGTGGATGCACTGAAGCGACGTAAACACAATTAGCCCAGCTGTTCAATGTGTAGACTCATGATCAAGCTTTGACCCCAAATGAACTCTATATCCTCTCTCTTATTTTTTTGATTTTACATCTTATCATCTTATATCGTTTTTTATTCTAGAAATATATTAATTATAATGAAGGAATAATTATAAATTACTTATACAAATGTGAAAAGTGGAAAATGAATAGAATCGACTCCGGTATATTTCACAATAGAACGCTGACGACTTAAATGCAACCTCTAATGGTAACAAATTATAATGGCATGAACCTGTGCAAGAACTTCTAGAAAGAAATTTAGCACAACAAAAATAGATTATTATGCCTATAAAATTGATTAAGAAAATATAACACAAAAATTTTCAATAAGTTTCATATATTTTATAAATTTTTAATAAATAAAAAAATTTTATAAAAATAGCCCAATATTCTGGGTTGTTAAGAATAATGCAAGAAGCTAAACGTCAATTGAATGGAAAAAAAAATTTTCTGTGGATTATAAACTAAGAAAAGTTATCTTTATACGACTTTTATTTTTGACAAATTTGTCGATCAGAATTATGAAGCAGATGTAGAATCTTTTCTGGAAGGAATAAATATTTCAAGGACATACATTCTTGGATTAATTTTTCAGAAAAATGTGCAATATACAGTCCTTTATTTTTGGCAATGTTCATATTTTTCCTCCCTTACATCTCACTTACTCGACATCGAATAACCAGTTTTTCGAAATTTTCAATGTTTCAACATTGAATGTTCTGAATCATCCTTCTATTTGCTTATGGACTTGTGGTATTCACTTTTTTCAATTCCACTGAAATGTAATATAAAAGGACTACCTGTATGCGTGCTTCATTAAGCTTTGTTATTCGAGCTAATTCTTCTCTAACATAAATATCAGGATAGTGCGATTTCTGAAAGGCAGCGTCAAGTTCTGCAAGTTGTTCTTGTGTGAAAGTCGTACGGTGTCTTCGCCTTACGCTATAATAATAATAAATAAGTGAACTGATTAATAATAATTCAAAATCCACATACTGCTTAAAACCTTAAAAATAAAAATTTTTGTAGCACCGTTATTTTACAAATAATTTTATTACGGTTGTAATTGACAATTTATTTTTGATGAGAACAACCTTGCTGGAACCTGGGGACCATTTGATAATGAGCTCGAGAAAACAGAGCTACTGCTCTCAGCTTTGATTTTCTTAAAAGCGCCATCCGTTACTGAAAAATGGTTGTAAAGCTTATTCTACGAAATTCCTTAATATTTTTGCATGTTTCATAGGAAAATTTCGTAACAAAGTACCTTCAATCTATTTATAGTGTGCGTCCTCAAATTCAAAGGATAATTAAAAAGCTGTACACAAGATTAAATTTTGTTCAAGGTTTGACCATCTGTTGCACCTGTTGAAAACTATCATTGTCCTGTCATCTCATATAACATTTTTTTCTATATTTTAAGAAATTTAAAAATATATTCTGAAGTTTTTTCACTTAAAGATTCTCAACCGTTGCGTTTCAGTCGACCACCACCACTTTCATTTCGTTTTTCAGATCGCAAAATTTTATGAAAATGTAAATCTCAGTGTTGTTGATATGAATAAATTTGAATCTCATTAGCAAAATCTATCTACCTGTTGAATCTCCAATTGGTCGCAAACTAGCGGATACTGTGGATGCGTCTATAGGCGGATAGTAAGGGAAATCCGATAATGCATGAACTAAATCTTTTCCCTTGAGCTGATCCTGAAACTAAGACCAAATCGTTAAAATCGATTTGCACCAATTCTAGGTAATATGGCTTGAAATTTGCTAAATATGCTCTTGGTAACTATAAAGTTTCTTCAGATGATGCCTATGATATGATTTGATATTTGCCTACTCAAAACCATATTGATCAATAGCAGGAAGCACTGAATCGCAGCACTGAAACGAAATTCATGCAATAGAAAATTGTTTACATTTGTTCATAAATTTTTCATTGATAACTAATTTATGCATAATTATGAATTAAATGATTAAAGTAGCCTTAGAGAAGTCTAGAAGCATTAGAAGTGGTTCAACATCAAATTTATAATATTTTCTTTAAAATACAGAAAAATATATATTCCAGAACACAGACTAATTAGCATATTAAAATAACTTGAATTGTCACAAAAAGTATTTCTTCGCGTGGTCGAGAGATATGTTGAGGTATGTTATGTTGAAAGATATGAACGTCTAAGGCCTATCATTGCCCTGATGTGAATAAATCTGTTATTAAAAGTGAAATCGGGATGGTGGTGTGGTTCATGTGAACTTTTATCTTCAGTTGACTCTGATGAAGATATCTCATCCTAATAGTCACTAAAGTGAACCAAACCAGCAATGCTGAGTACTGTTGCAAGAAAGAATTCATGACGATGACAATGGTTAATAAATTATATTAGAGAAAAATATGTAATACTTTTTACTTTTCTCTCTAGGTTGATTGTGAGTTTAGGCTACTTCGGTAGAATCTGAAACCATTGAAACACGCGGCTGTGATATGTTACAATGATATCTTGCCTATTCAAAATCTAAAGCTAAAAAATCTTGTAGGAATAGAAATAGACCATAAAAGATCATAGCTTAGTAGAGCACTGCGAGCAACGATCTTTAATACTAACATGGAAGAAAAAAGATGCTACAAGATCGAAGAAAAGGTTAGCATCGAAGATCGCTTAATTCGATTCTTTCTGGCCGAAAATCCGATTAAACAAAAAAAAATTTAGCCAGTGATTATCAATTTGAATCACTCACATAAATGATGAGAAATAATCCAACAACATATTTTCATAACGGATATACTAAGAAATATTCTACTTAAAGGTCTTGGATCAATCCAAACAATCTAAAAAATGGAGAAAAAAGGATAGATAGCTTATATACAGGAAAATGGCTATCTCATCGTTAGATTCAAGAAGGATTTCTGATACTAGATCATTAAAAAAAATATTCAGCAAAAAATTTTTTCCAATTTCTTTCTTGAACCATCCACATGCTTTTGCGAATTTTCGGATTACATACATTCAGACCGGTTTCGGCAAATTTTCTATTTCTTCCTAAATCTTTTCTATTTAAAATGCTTGTTTCATTCATTTAGGTTGGTTTGTAAATTAAAAATCTATAATCTATATGATTATTGAAAAAGCATTCCTACCTTAAAATGAAGAGAATTTCTTGAGAAATTAAGTTGAAGAAGAGCGCAAATTGTATAAAGAGGTGACTAAAATATTGGTGACGAATTGCCGAGAAATGCAATTTCCATAATTACTTTAGAAACAATAAATATTTTTGCCGATTGCTGTTCCAATTATGCCACAGGCTTAACCAATTTATAAATTAGCGGCTCGAAACAGCATCGTTGATCAGTTTAAATATTGCAAATGAGCACAATGGTCCTTCGAACCCAAAGGTAAGCCAAACTTTTGCGCATCCTTTTTTTTATTTTTAAATATAAAAGTTCAAATCAAATAGAGAAGATTTGAATAGGAATAAAATGCTTTGATGTTTAAGCAAATTTTAAATCAAAACTGTCTGGAAGATAAAGCAAAAAAAAATTTTTGAGCAAAATTTACTATTATTATATTATATTATTAATTCTATTATAATATAGTTTAAAATACACTGGTTTCAGAGATTTCTATATGGATTGAAATTTTATATAAAAGTATGTGCCTTAATGAAATGATTTCGAAAAAAGTTTCCTATATTCAATAAGTAAGCACATTATTTTATGGATTCTGATTAATATTGGAAATATTTTTAACAATATTCTAGTAGCAAAATACAAAGCCATAATGGCAAAAATTTCGAAATAAAGATATATTGATAGTTCGAATGGCAACAGTGGAAATTAGACTGAAGAAGAAGATTTGAAAAGGTTTTAATTTTACTATCGCTTTTCCTTATCGTAAAATGATCAACAAACAAAATTTCTCTAAACATATCTAAGTAATAAGGATGAGATTTTGGATGAGATTAAAAAGACTACAAAATGTTAAGATTTTTTATTATTTAATTTTCTTTTAATACAAAAATCACTTAAAAAATAGGCACTTTGAGTGAAACTAGTAGATTTTTCTCTTAACAAATCATATATTAATTCTTAATTATTTCCACCAATAAATATTTATTATAACTTGGACATAATCATAATTTAGCCGAAAAACTGCTGAATAATTCCAAAAAACCTAGTAGGATTATAAGTTTAATCGACTACAAATTATAATTTTGAAGAATTAAGGTGTAATCAGTGTGATGGATCTAAAAATATCGATTTTTTAAAGATTCCATCAGATTTAAGAAGAAATGTATAGTGAAATTTTGATAAGGAATGATGGACATTAGTTATAGCTCATAGAACAAAATTTAGTGTGAATAAAGATGTGAATAAAATTAAGAATCTTGCAAAATAATTCTATTCCAGCTAAGTGAGTAAATTAAATCCAAAAAATAAATAAATTATGGAAGGATTAATGATGAACCGCTCTTCTTAAATATCGCCTCTGTCAATGATAATGAGATCAAATTTTGTGATTCGAAATTAAATATATATTTAGAAAAATCATATAAGAATCGAAAATAATTAAAAATCGATGAAGTGAATTAAGTAGATTTCATCATCTGTTGGTCCAGTGAAATTGATGCGAATCGCTTGACTTTACTATAAACTAATTATTAATGAAAGGAGTTAGCATAGCTACAGTTCGCAATAAAATTACCTGACTGATTGCGGAGACGGCAGCAACTGTGCTGCCATTTAAAGCACTGCTTAGACTTTCGCTCATCTTTCGTGGCAGCAGATTTAATTTGTTCCCTTCGAGATTCAATATATTATATTTAATATATTAACTCGTTTCTGGCTGGCCGGTCGTCGTCTTCTCTTAACAGCTAAACAACTTTGGTGACTACATATTCATACCGTATCCAGTAGGCATTTTGACCATAGACTTAGTCTCTTCATTTTCTTTGCTCTATAATCAACTCGAAATCACTTAAAATCGAGCACAGATGGCTGGAAACGCCTATAGGCAATCGACGATTGGCCGTTTCGTCTGATTGCTCAGCTCTCGTCGTTGATTCAATTAGCTTGCGGTAGTTCACTTCAAATGAACGAATATGTCGATAAACCAATTGAGTACTATCAATAACATCCAATTTTCGAGCAATTTGGGGGACAAGTATACATGCTATATAATATTTTACTGCCGGCATCCTTTAACTATAACAGAATCTCTTAGCCACTTTCATATTTCTAAGTACCATCACACATGCGTATCATTTCTTAATAACTCAATAACTTGATTAATAATCAGCGTCTATTTATGTATTAGAAATTTTTTTCTGCTCATAATTCTTCATAATTCTATGATAAATAAAATGCATTTCTTATACAATTGCAGTTGTTTTCACTACTTTCTCAAGTAAAAATGCAAAAAACCGTGGAAATTTAGCATCGTAACATTGTAAAGAAAATGATTTTAATCATTTCTATGTATAATTTAATGTTATAATTCGTACATTGAAAAATGGTTTGTTTGGCTCCAGCACCTGTTTTATTCCTATTTTTTTGATTTTAAAAAAGATCTTAATCATCGCCCACAAAACATGGAAGCACTGATCGATCTCCAACGCCTCGATCACAAATTCTCTGGAATAATAAGATTTCGCTAGTTTTTTTCCAGACAATCAAATCACTAATCAAATAATCCAGCTTGTTGTGTCATAAATGATGTCCCACTTCTGATGAATATCAATAGCCAGAATTCATGAACGATACTCTAATGCTCCTTTAAGTAAATTGAAAAATAATATCGTTGAAGAATGGCTTTTTCACGTGGTTTTAATAATATTTCGAAAAGTTTACTGCAGTCTATGCCAAACCCACTCATATTCCATTAATGGTCTACAAGTCTCGCAGCCACCATTCACCACCTATAAAGTCTAACAAGGCTGTGTCTAGAATATATTGGATAACGCTAAGGGAGAATAAAGAGAATTTAGAGAGCGAAAATGGAAGAAAACTGTGCAACATAGTTCGAAAGCGTGGAAAGATAACCATAAATAAACTTTAAACAATGTTAAGGTTCACATCAAGGGACAAACGAAAATCCTGAAGACAATTCTCCCAGTCTATAGGACAGATCTTTTCGCCCCATAAACAACAAATACATCGCTCAAATCAACAGGGAAGGAGATTTCCTTAGTGCAAAATATAGTGGATATTAAGCGAAACAAGTGAATTTAGGCGTTAGCTGCGCCTTGAAAAATTTCTCTCAAATGGAAACATCCTTCTTAAAATGCAAGCTATGCAAAGAATACTTTTCCTTAGGGAGCATGAGGAATACCTCATCTGCTTTTTATAAAGTCTATTCTATTCTAAACCTTTGATCATTTTATTATTAATCATTGATCAAACAATGATTGGTGGGTTATGATTTTCGAAATTCTTTTATTATCTATCGTATACTGAAAGTTTGAACCATTTAATACTAATTTAATCGACCTGCAGTCTATAGAAAATTAAAATCTATGGAAAGTTCTACAAATGGTCAAACGATTTGCAATAATAGATAAAATTAGATTTATCAAATCAAATTTTGGCAGTGTTATTTGTAACTAAAGTCTAGAAGAGCAAAAATATTTAAATATAGCGAGAAATGTAGAAATCATAATTTTGAGGTTTTTAAATGAACGAAAATAATGGTCTCTATAAGATTCTTTAAAATTTTTTTTTGAATGATGGAAAATTCGAAGGAATCAACGGAAACAAAAACAATTATAGCAGATTGAAAAATGAAAAAGAATTCAACAAAAAGCATTATTATACATGAAATGCTTTTAAATTATTTTTAAAAAAGAAGAGAAAAACTCGAAGATTCGGTTTTTTTTTCATTTCATGATCACATCCATCACTCCTGGTCTGGTAATGCAGACCCTTTGCTAAAGAGTATCTTTGAGATTGAATTTGAAATGAAATAGTCACTTGAGAATAAAAATGGAAATGGCTCCGCAAAACCACACTTTGACCTTTAGCGCCAAGTCATCTCTATCAAAAAGCAAGAATCAAAGTTATGATTATTGGGTCTTAAAAACACTATTCGACCAATCTTAACGCTTAATCGAGTTTTTTTTCAGAATTTAAATATATTTTTAAAATTTAAAATTTGATTTCAAGCGGCAGTTATTGCCTTGATATGTGCCAATGAACAAGTTTAAAATTTATTCTTTTGCGTAATATTGCATTAAAATTATCCCATTTGCCATCGTAAAATTAGAATGCTGTTAGAAATAATTTTGAAAGCTATTTTTGAATGTCGTGATATTTTCAAATGAAGTACCCTTGAGATTGAAAATTTGAAATAAATAAACTCTAATCGTTTATAAAACTACTGTTAGTACGTAATCGAAAGAACTTTTCTAAATGAATTTACTTAAGTACTATTTTAAAATCGAAAGAACTTTTCTAAATGAATTTACTAAAGTACTATTTTAACTCTGAAAAACATATGCCTTCCAACAGGTAAAAGCAAGTGGTTATGCTCATTGGGATAGCTGTTAAAGACTGTTAATAAGTTTATTCCTGCCGGGGACAGAAAACTGAACCTCTGATGCTCGACGCAGATCGAAGCAATCATTCCATTCCAATCGATCGCCTCTGCCTTTAGCTAATTCATTTTTATTTTGAAAAATTTGATCTGAAATATTTAGCTCATTATCTTTTATTTTTTATTTTTTAAGCTCCATCTTAATTTTTTCTTTTTCACAAATTCCTTGTTGGAACCAAATGTTAGGCAACTGCTGTGTACCTATTCTTAATACTGACATAATAATAAGTCCATTGATGAAATATGAAGGAAGCAAATGGAGGAGGCATAAGTACTAGCAATTCGTAACGCCATCTGCATGTTTCTTCGTTATTGCTTCTTCACCTTTTGCTTTATCCGATAAGATTTACTCTGGCCAGTGGATTATGACTACGAAAATCTATTATCATTTATTTATATAGGATTTTGTTTTATTTATTTATTTATACAAAATCACCCACAGCAATAACCATTTGCTTGTGTAACGAATAGTGAGCATAATAATAAAACAGTGCAACAATATGGAGAATAATAAGAGAAATAGGAACGAAGGTAAAAAAAGAGAAAAATGATACTACAAATGTTAGGCTATAATGGACTGAGGATAACCTTGTCTAAATAATGTTATGAATATTTCATTTATTTATAAAGCTAGGTACTAATGGTGTAAATATTATATCTGAATATTTATTCCAATCGTTAATCGTTTTGAATTTCGAAGAAATTTTGAGACTTAACTTTTATCATGCAGATAGCTTGGTGTTTCTTCGACCCATTACCTCTCGCATTATTCAAATTTTACAAGAGGCATAGTATTCCTTAGAGTCGAGACATTACTAAATATTATAAGTGTAGATCCTAAAAGTATAAATCAGATCTTGTATGGTTTTCTCTTAATCCTTAACGAATCTAGGTCATTTAATTGGCCTATAATTAATTACTTGAATTTGGAAGGTATAAAATGTAAATTCTACAACTTTCAACCCTTTACATTAGCTTAATTTATCACTCCTAGGAAAGGATCACAGAGTGTTGTATTTAAGAAAGGGCGCACAAAAATATATATTGGGAAAAGTCGACTTTGTAATTTAAGATTATTACAATACACATTTTTTGATTATCATCTTATTAAACAGACCAAAATTAAGATTACTATCGAATATTCTCGAAGAAAACAGGAGAGGCATCAGATGATTTAACGTTATTATGTAAAATCTTTTTCAATAAATAGCTAGATGGTTTATAGTGAAACCAACTTACCCAAGTTCTTGCCATAACCATAAAAAGAGATGTTTTAGTGATTAATATTGATAATATCATTAATATACATGATGAACACCAAAAGACATATAGAAATACCTTGTGGCACACCAGAACTAATAGGTGATAAACATGATAAAAAATTATTAATATCTCATGTTATATATAGTATATATATATATGTTATGTAGTTATATAACATATATATACTATATATAACATGAAATATACATATATATATATATATATATGTTATATATATATATATATATATATATATATTATATATATATATATATATATGTTATATAGTTTCCAGCAATTTACCAAGTAAAAAAGTATCAAAGGCTTTAGATAAATCAAGATAGAGTACTGATTTATTTATAATCCACAGATGCCGACAGATCATGAAGACCAGCTAGAACATGAGTAATGGTGGATTTTCTATAGAAACCATATCATTTGCTTCAAATTAGTCATATAGTAGATAACATACAAATCTCATAAGTCTCATATATATAAGCCTCTCCAGAATCTCGCTGCTTATCGGATAATCGGATGATAATTGGGTATAGAATGACTTAGGGTAGTTGCCCAATTAGGAGCGCAAATGCTGAGGTTCGATTCCTTGCAGGAGTAAACCTGTACAAAAATCTCCATGACGCTGGCGACTCACCTGTATTTCTATCGCTAAGGGATTTGAAGCGAATTTAACCAGTAATGGTGAGGATTCTTAAAACAAAAAAAAAATCGGATGATAATTAAAAGGGTATCATTATTAGTGAAAATGGGAGAGATATGAGATTTTCCAAATTTTGGGATTACGACCAAGGCTTAAAATATCTCCATAAATTAGGAAGCAAGATAACGCTAGACAGACCGCACATTCTATAAGATTTGCTGGATATTATCAGATCCAGTATGCAACAGATTTGGTATTATTATATTATTATATCAATACATCTAACAATTCAATACCAATTCATTTAATGAAGGAATATACAATCGGATTGACTTGTTATATGATAATTAAAAATGAAATCTAAAAAAACACTGGAGAAGTGATCGTTAAAAATTGTTATATCAGTATATGAGAATCGCAGCATCGCTATTCTTCAAAATCATTTCTTGCATGCGATTAGAAAATTTATGTTATAGCTCTAAAATAGTTTTGTTGGTCGAATTTAAAATTCTTTCTTTCCTAGGTAAAAAATATTTTTGGAAAGTAATAAGGAAGGTTGTTAAAGAAACTCTATAGATAGATCCAAAGGTGAACGATCCAATTTGCATACTCCTAAGATTTTTTTCAACTTTTTTTTTCAAAAATTTTGAAGGCTTAGAAAATTTGATCGTAAGTTTTGTAAGTAAAAGTACATATGGTTGAACTAGATTGAGCCTCACAATTTGCCAATTTATTCCGGCAAATAAGTGATTTTGAATGATACTTATCACCACTAGAAAATGGTTCTAAAATTTCAACAAAATTTGTAACTAGCAACATCATTAACAGGAAATATTACAAAATTAAATATTATAAAATATTGTAAGCGCATTAACGTTGCTGCAGACCACCATACTCCTCCTACTAGAAAAAAATCGAAAAGCAATAAATATTATGAAGAGGATTGCCGGAGCCAAACTTCTAGGATGAACAATCTTGAACTGAACAGGACTGTATATAAGGCTGACGAACACAATGCTGCTAGCTTCGCAACACGATAATCTTTTAACTTTTTACCACGAATTTTCGCAAGCTGATCTCTTGAATCCGGTGATAACATTCAAACTTTAATCCCCTTCATTTTCCAGCTGCATTTTTGCAGCTTCTTTATTAGATTGGTCGACTTTTCTGGGAGATTAACTACTATTAGATTCAGCGCTTTTTCCTTGACTTCCATACACTCCTCGATATTATCAATATAAGAAGGCTGATTACCATCGCTCTCCACAATCCTTTTGGAATTTTGAAGTTGCTATAACATCTCGACGGTCTTTAGCATTTCACAAAGTTCTGCTTCTTATGATTTATAATTTATTATTTTTTAAATTTGAAGAAGATAATTGAGTTTTTTCATAAATTTTAACTATTAACCGTTAAGAAGTCTTCTCCAACTTCACTGATTTAATTGAAATGATTTAGAGGACAAAAAACAGAAAAAAAGAAGAAAGAGAAAACAGAGGATAATGAAAACACGAAGAATAATAGCACGATTTTATTTCAATAATGTAAATATAATGTACCAATAAAACTTTCACTCTTATTGGTTACACTGGCTCCACTGGCTACAAGGGCAAGACGTCTCCAAGCTATTCGGCCAGACGCCATCGCTGAAGTAATTGAAGTCATTCCTTTTTTGTTTCCATATATCGGTGGTCCACCTTAAGGCCACGCTCTGTGATAACATCATTAATATTTGAGCGAAGATGGGTACAATCATGCGCGATTTCATCCGCTCGACGGATCCATAAAATGTATTTTATAATATTATATGTATGAGTGGTTAAAGGCTGATAATTCTTAATATCTTCCATGTCTAGCAGCCATATGGCAAGACCGGACGAATCGCAGCTAAATAGACGTGGACTTTCGTTTTTATGCTAATTTTGTGACGATCCATAAAGATTTCGTCAACGCATTTTAGCTGCCGGATTATAATTATAATTCCGTCTTTCGCTTATCGCTTGGCTATTTGGGATTAGAGTGGATATTTAAAATTTGGCACTTCACTTCCCTAACCGGTAAAGAACTGATGAAAATAGGTATTTTATTAGCTTTTTTGAATAAGACGAGAAGACTCGCTTTATTTATTGGTCCTGAGTCCGATTCTTAATGCAGATAGAATTGCTCAGTGGGTTTTTGCTCAGTTTGGAGCGCCGATGCCGAGGTTCGATTCCTCGCAGGAGTTAACCTATACAAAAAACTGGGTGATGTTGGCGACTCACCTGTATATCTATCACCAAGGGACTCCCTGGCATATTGCCCAATGCAACAAGCCGGTGGAGCGAGTTTAACCAGTAATGGTGAGGACTCTTAAAAAAAAAAATTTATTGGTCCTGAATCCGATTCTTGCTCCAGTTGTCGACACCATTGTACTTTGCACTTCGTCTACAAAAAGGTATACACGCTACAGACACATTGTTTAACATTATTACTATTTGTATTATCAATAAAATACTAATTTTTAAATAAATATTACAATAAAAATTAAAATTTAGACCCGGCCAATGAATTATTATAACAATAATTAAGACAATAAAGAAGATAGTATGTAGATAAGTCTGATTGATAAAAAAACCATTCACTACCTTTGTGCAGAAATTCAAAAATAAATAAGAAAAATAAGAAATAAAAAAAACTAAAGACTAATAATGAAATAAAATAAAAACATTAAGAATAAAAGGTTACTTTTGATAACTTTAAAACTATAGACAAAAATACACAATAGACAAACTCGCAAAAAAAAGTAGAAATAGATACAAAGTTAATAGAAAAAACAAAGACAAATACAAATTATAAATATACTCTAGGAAAAAATTTTTCAGGAAGGAGCGAATTATCTGAACTTGTAATTAGTTACAAATAAAATAAACAAAATAGTGGAATGTGAAGCAGTTTACTACATACCGAAAAGTCACTTATATTGTAATTTAAAAAGTGACTGGAATAATTGAAAGCTAAAATAACTAAGAAAATGGAAACTAGAATAGAATGATTTTTATAAACAATGCTTGGTAGTAAGAACTGATTAGAGTTACTTCTAAGACAAAATTATAATATTAATAGTCCAAACGGACTATTCAATCTACTTCGCTTGCAGTTCGTTGTATTACCAAACCAAGACCAGTGAACTGAGACAAGTACGAAAGCGGTTGAGACAAAAGAAGTTCATAATGATAATTAACTAAGGAATGATATCGAAAAGAACCAATTCGGAGATCATCCACAGCATCCAACAGTGATTCCACTTCATAATCAGATACATCTTAAAAAATGTATTAAATACCACTCATGATCAGTGATTTGAAAAAAAATCATACCAAACATAATAAAAATATCAAATAAAGGAATATTTCAGCAAATCAAATTTTAAAAAAAAATAAAAAAATTTAGAAAAAAAGTGGATAAAGAAGTGCCAAAAACGATTTAAGGCCAAACATAGGCGATAGTTATTTATTAAAAAATAATGAAAAGATAATAATAATAGTGGTAATGAAAATAACCAATCTAAATGAAGAGAAAAAACTTAAATTAATTTAATCGATCACTTTTAAAAACTAAAAACAAACCTGGCCAAATCTTTGTGTATTCTCCTTTACACTTCGGCTTTACTGGCAAGCAGATGGGTCCAGTTAAACAAAAAATGTTATAAACTTGGGGGCATATACGTTTTTTGTAGATAATGCTTAATACTTGTCTCAATGTAGCCGACTGTGTCTGATCCATAAGAGTGCAACAATTCTGTAAGTTTAAAATTGGCAAAATCATTAAATTCAAAAAAAATTAAGATTGAGAAAAGGTTGAAAAAACTTAAGAGTGAAGAATACAAGACATAAAGACGTAAAGAAAGAATAAAATTTAAAAAAATACCTGACAAATGATTTCTGTAAAAACTTCAGGAATATTATTTTTAGTTTTGAGTTTCACATCTGAAACCCTCACGAATTTTTTCGTTACCTTAGATGCAAGAGCTTTATGAGATAGATTCTGGTTAATTAATCGTGCGATTCGGACAAGACCATCATACAATTTCAATCCATTTTCCTTAACTGAGAAGCCTTAAGAAAAAAGGGAAAAGCTGAAAATTTAATCGAAAATTTAAAAAGAAATGAATTTTATTTTCGTTCCTTTTTGTGAAAAAAAGCGTATGGCTTCTATACGTCTTTTTTATCTTTGTTTTGAAAAATAACAAAAGTTGTGCGACAAATCGGCATATTATGTTTATTCGTAATTCTCGTGAGCGGTTGTATCGATCTTTTCTCTCAAATTTATTATTTCCACTAAATCAATATTGTGTTTCCCTAAAAGGATAAAAGCAAAGCATTATTTACCTTAGTGCATTTGTCTAGATATTCTTCTTTAAATATATTATTTTTATCGTCTTATATCAGGTACTTATAAGATAAATAAGATTAGAAACTACCGACGAATATTTTGAAAAAAAAGGAGAAAGAGCAACGTCTGGCTGGTACAAACATTCCGGAAAAACCTACGGTAATTAATGAAGTTGCTTCTACTAAAGATATCAGCTCCTTTTATAAAATTATCGAAGATTTGAAAACATGGTTAGCCTCTATTATTGAGAAATATGAGAAGCGGCAAAATCTAACTTTGCTAGATCTGTTGAAATAATTACAAAGGTCAACGAGGAAATAATATTAATAATTCGAAAATTTCGTCTTTTGTTGGCAACCTCGAGCCTCCAGAAATCTCAACTGAACAGTTATTGGAAATTACCGCCGAATATTTCGAAAAAAAAGAGAAAAGGAGCCACGTCTAGCTGGCATAAACATTCCGGAAAAACCTACGGAACATGAGACTGCCGATATACTTTTGTCAAAGAATACTGTCGCTACCGCTGGAATCAAGACTGATTAGATTAAGGAAGTTCGTCGACATGGAAAGAAGAGATCAGGTAGGCCACGAATATTTAAAATTTGACTAGAAGATAAGTATATGACCATGTCTACGCAATAAGAATATGCGCTTGATTGTACACCATGGGAGCTTATTGCTTAAAGGTTTAACCAAAAGAGAACTAGACAAACAACTGCAAAAAGAATTTTACATTCGGAATCGGAGAAACTTCATGTAAAGAAATATGTGGTCAGAGTTCTTCTTCAATTCTTCATGGAACTCAGCTTTGCCAATGGTTTTTAACGACGAATGCTTTTTTCGATTTCACCTTTTCTTATCATTCTAGAACAATTTGCCACGGTTAATAAAATAGGAATTAATTTATCTTTATATTTATTCAAGAAGCTTAAAATATAAATTTGACTTAATGATTGATAACCGAAATAGTTTTCTATATCAATGAAACGTGGCTGGATAACTCTATTGATAATAGGGAAGCAAACTTCGACGGTTTTATAGTATCACGCAAGGAGAGAACAATAAACAGATTATATACTCATGGAGAAGGGCTTATCACGCTTATTCCTTATTATAAATTAACTTTTGATGGTTATGTTTGTTCCTTTTTTGTATCTCTGATAACTAAAATTGATCTTAATAACAAATATTTCTCTCTTAAATCTGTATCACTCACCTGGCTATGGAAATAAATTTACTGTGGACCTATTTAAACTAAAATTATTTGCTGCCCATTATATAATTTGGTGATCTAAATGTGCCAAACGTATGTTGGAAAAATAGTTGCATGAAAAATTTGCATCAAATTTGAGGACTTTTGCATTAATAGGTTTAGAGCAACATGTTAAGATAAGATAACTAGGCATAACACCACATTAGACGTTGTGCTGTGTTCTGATTACTTCTACTTCTTTCGCTGATTGCATTAATAACCTTTTTGCAATATCATTTTGATTGATATTTTGATTATTGATTATTAATCCTATCCAAGCAGAAATGAACCAAGATTTCTAGTTGTTCCTACTGATAGCTCATTCTACTGATGAAAAGGTTAAATTTAAATTTTCTTAATAGCACCATTTTATATCTTATAGAACAATATATCCCTTTAAGGAAAAATAGTGTTAGATCAACTCCTATTTTCTAAATCTCTAAGAAGCTTTATAATAGAAACAAATTAACCAAACTGCCAAGTGACCTTTCTGCATATAAAGAATGCTTAAGAAGTTTCCGTAGTGCCATTCATAATTACTTTTCAAATAAAGAGCAACTTTTAAATATTGATAGAAATCCTTTCTGGACCTACATCAAAAGAAAGTTTGCAAATCCACCTAAATTAATTATAATGATAATGTGCAATATAATAATAATGTGATCACCTCTGATATTGATATTGCAAGTGAATTTAATCAATATTTTCCTAGTGTATTTGTTGAGGATAATACTCATACTTCTTGTTTTAACGTAAATCGAATTTGCTATACTTCTCTCGGTTAGGTTGAAATGATACTACTGGATGTTTATGATGTTTTAAATAGACTTAAGCCGTCCATTTCAGCTGGTCCCAATAATATTCCACAAATAATTTATAAAAAATGTGCAGTTTCACTGATGAGTCTTCCCCTATTTCTAATTTATAAGGATATGTAGTCTGGCATTAATCCCAAAATTTAGAAATTGTTTCATATAATTTCCATTCATATAAAAGTAAGCACCTGTGACCCTTCTAATTAATGCATATTAGGTTGATTTGCAACAAGTTGCTTAATTATCATGATCCAATAATTTAATATCCTCCTATAAACATGGCTTTTGTACGAAAAAATCTACTTCACAAATATTGGCAAATCTTTCCGATTGGTCAGCATCAATTGATAATGGAAAAACAGTATCAGTTGTGTACCTAGATTTAGCCAAAGCTTTTGATACGTTTTTTCCACAGCAAATTATTGATAATTAATCCCTTAATAGTTATGGCATTACATGGGCCCTTTATAACTGGGTGTCAGATAACATAAAAAATCGTCATCATGCTGTCAATAATATTCTCTCTGACACAACAATTGTTAAATCTGGTGTTCCTCAAGGTAGTTACTGCGCCATTGCTTTTTCTATTATATATAAATGATGTAACCAATGTGGTACTAAATTCTACTATCTATCTTTATGCTGATGGTTGTAAAATTTATTGTTCTCATGGTAGATAAGATGGCCTATCTTCATTGCAGGAGGACCTTAACAGAATAGCCAGCTTGCTATTCTGTTAAGCAAATTACCTTTACCTTTCCTTTCAAAAATGTGGCGTTCATCATATTCTAAAGGATTCGATCTTCCTAATCTTTTTATCAATGGTGATATAATCAGTAGAGTCTCACACATTTCCGATCTTGGAATAATCGTGGATGAAAATCTCGATTTCAACCTTCATTGCAGAACCATGGTAAAGAAATCCTCAAAGATACTACATTTTATTTTTCGTTCGTTTAAGAACAAAACTAAAGATTTTCTTATCAAAATGTATGAAGCATCCGTTCTGCCTTTTCTTGACTACAAATACTACCTGTTACTTCCCGAGATAGCGCAAGTCAAGTCGAAATAATTGAAAAACTCTAGAAATTTTTTATACATCGTTTCTCTCCTCATAGTATAAAACACAATTTCAATAATTCAACCTGTATTCGCTCTCAATTCGTTGAATTAAACAAAATTTAATATATACTTATAAAATTAAAATATATAATAAATAAAATAAATAAAATAAAATTAATATATACTTATAAAATTTTATATCGTTATGTTAAATCAGACTGTTCAAAATATTACAATTTTTGGTTAAATTTGAACCCAACAAGATCTAATGGGCTAAAACTTATATGCAAAACTAAATTAAGGACTCACGACTTCTTTATTCTATTAATTACTGGAATAAATTATCGAACGATGCAATTTGTGCTTCACGCTTAGCTATTTTTAAAAAAGATTATATCATTTATGATACTATTTAAAATACTCACATCATACAGAAAGTTTAAAATCTTGATTTTTACCATTTCGATTATATGTAAATAATATATTCACTTCGAACTGTACTATTTTTAACTCCTTTTTATTTTATTAATTTTTGTTATATTTTCTTTTTTTACCATTAATTTCATTATTTGCTATTTTAACTATTATTAATACAAGCATATGGCACTTGCCGTTCTGCTTGGCTGATTTTTAATAAATAATACTACATATTTATATAGTGTCAAAAGAAAAAGTGAAAAAATCTTAAAAAAGTTTTATAGATCATTTTCGTCACTTACATTTTTTCTTACAAGAATATTCATGGATTTGCTCGGTTCAATGTTCATTTTCTCTTTCTGAAATGGAATAAAATTCTGAAAAATGACTATTAGCAAAAAAATAAAATCACTTACAATATTCAAAGCAAAATCCAAATTTGGATCAAATATATCGACAAGTTTGCTTAAATCAATGCTGTCCTCGAATCTCCTAATCATTTCTATATCACTGTTACGCTTTGCACTACAACAATAAAGAGCTCCAGGGTCGAATGGATGAGCTTCAGTATTAAATATGTACCCTCCAGCTGCAAATCAGGATAATATAGCAAAAATTCAACTATTATATAGCAACGAGTTCCCATAAAAATGAAATAATCTGATCAGTTATTTGTATTTGTATTATTTATGCACAAAACAAACCATCTACTACACAAGGACCGTTCGGAGTTACAACAATTCGTGATTTGCTTCCATCATTGTTGATAAAATTATCGAAGTCAAAAATTAAATAAAGATACTTCGTGGTTTCAGATAGGAAAAAAGACTCCATCCTGAAAAAGGATAAAAAAGAGAAAATTAATTCAAATGGATCAGTGGCATATATTTTGGCCAGTCTATCAGCAACAAAAACCGAAAAATTTCGGAGATGTCAACGAGAAATTTGAATTTTACCTATCTTCAATGGTGTGGTCATTAACATTTTCAACCGTGGCATATCCACAAGACGTGCGACAACTGTGCTCAATCACCTATAAATATTAAAATTTCCTACAAATAGTAGTAATTTATGAATTGAATTATATAATTACATTCTTCTGCCCATTCAGACTCTCATTCAGACCAATATTCCTAAAAAAAAATGGACAATGAAAAAATGAAAGCCTTAGGAAAAAATGTGGCTTTATAGCAGATAATAAAAAACCTCAACAAAACTAGCTGCAAGTTGTAATAAATGTGGGTCTCCAGTTGCTCGGTACAAGTGGTATAAACTTTCGGCGAATTCAGGCCTTAATGGATATCCAGCTCGTGCCTAAAACATTTCCTTAGTTATAATCATAGCCCTAAATTATAAATGAAGATGTTGCAATTCTTCATCTATTTAATTTTTATAATAATTACTGTTTCCTGCTTCGGCAGATAATAAAATTCTGGGGGAAAACCATATTTCCGTATTACTTGACTATATTGGAGGAGTATACGTTGTGCATCATCTACATCACCTACCAGTGCCTGCAAACATTCATCAGTATTTACAAATTAAAAAAGAAAAGGAAATTGTTTATAGGAGATTTCAATCATACCAGCAAACCTGGCCAGAACGCTTCCAGTGACTGAAACACGGGGAGCGATATTTTAGCAGAAGTCATTGATACCCACAAAAACCAATCACTTTTACGTACATATTTATTTATTGCATTAACATATTCTGTAATATGCAAATTAAAAAAATAAACTGCTCAATAAATCTATTATAGAAATATGATCATAAATTAAAAAGAGCCCCAAATTATATTTTTTCATCCTAAATTTTCATTAAGGTTCAAAGTTCGCAAATAATTTCTCTCATGTTTTTAAAAATATCATGTTTTGAAAATAATATTGATATCATGTGGCCTGAATTTGTAGTATAAATGATTGCAGTATAAAATAATGTAGATATGGAACAACTGACCATTAAATTGCCTCATTAAAGCCGGTCTTTGAAATAATAGGGCTCCTTTAGCAAGATATTCAAAATAAGAATCAACACCAGCACCTATGCCTGCATCTGTTGCAGTCCATTCACCTAGAAGAAAAGTGAATATAAAGGCAAGTATTCCTCATGAACAATAAACAAAATAAACATAACAATAAACAAAATAAATCAAAAATAAACATTACAATAAAATAAATATAAAAATAAACATTTCAATATTTCATTTCAATAAATAAACATTTCATTTAAATAATGAAGAAAATAAAAACCTGTCTGTACGTTAATATGATTGCCCACTAGTCCTAAAGATGACCTCGACTGCCACAAAGCCTCTAAAGCTTTCAAAGCCACACGTTCATAAACAGGATTACCGGAAACATAAAACTAAATAATTTTATAAAATTCTCCAAAAAAAGTGATTTTGAAATCATTTGAAAAAAATAAATCTTACGGCTTTAAGCTTCTAGCACTCGAAATGATTTAGCAAGATGATCACTGGCAAACAAAAACATTAAATTCTCTAAAATTATTACCAGTTAATTTTGTTAAGGCTCCAAATTCTAGAATCATTGTTCCCACACCCGCAGTACAAGTAACAGGGGTTTCTTGACGATGTAGCCCGTATCTGAAGATGAATTTATTAAAAACGAAAAAATCTGTCAAACGAAAAAATCAAAAATATCAAAAAGTTCACTTCAAATTTACAGTGCCATAAGGCATTCCAGTCTTCGTGTTGAAAGCTGGTAATAACTTCTGAGCGAATCGTTCAGCAAGACGAAGTAGAGGGCCTGAACAAGGCCAACCAGGTTCCAACGTCATTCCTGAAGAAAATCACTTGTCAAGCTATTAAAGATATTACAAAATGAAAAGTTCATGAAATGGTTTCCTTGTTTTAATCTGACGAAACAGATAAAAAGAAAAGCAGCTGCAATTTTAGAATCATGAAAGTTTCTTTGAAACGCAATCATCGAAAAGATAAAAAAGCGACCTTTAACCCGGCCTGATAACATATGACCACTAAGCAATCCGCCAATAACTCTGATATTTGTTTCAAATACTGATATATTAACGTTAACGTCAACCTAAAAATATGAAAGATGGCATCAGATTATATAAATATATAAAAATTATAGGAGAAAATCCTGAAAAAGAAACAAGAAATCTGATAACGATAATAGAATACAAAAATATATCCTTGAAACAATAAAGACAATAAACTGACTGAGCAAAAAAATCCAATTTTTAGATTAATTTTAAAAAAGTGTAGCACGATTGACTGACGCCACAAATCACACGTCTTGGCAGCGCTAATTAGTCGGCTTCATAATTTTGCGCTGAGTGCAAATCGCTTAAACATTTGTAGTTGACGCGATCGAATAGCAGCGCGTTTATTAGAAACAGAAACTTATACATTGCCAGCATAACACAACCAACGCGCTATATTATCCTCATAAGATGAATCAAAAACTTGGAATAGAAATGTCCCATTCCCATAAAAAGCATAAGTTCCTTAGTTTAATTTAGAAAACTAGATTATTGAAATTATTGAAATTAGTCAGATTTTGACCCATTTATTATCGACCTCTAATTCCTTATGCGATTTCGAAATGAGTTTAAAGAATGATACAAGAAGAATGAAGATATGCAGCTTCAATTATCTCTCAAATATCACATAAGAATTTTTAAAGCCTAATTATTAATGAGAATTCAATCCTGGGATAATTGAATTATCCTATAATTATTTGAAAGTTCAACAAAAATTTTCGACCTTTATGTTATTAATAATGACTTGTGCAGCTCGTATAAATTCAGTTTCATTCGCCATAATAAGTAAAGTATCAAGCGAATCGATAAGTGACAAACTAAAACTTCCCCAAGTATCCATTCCTCAAAATCAAAAAAAAAGTCTCTATAACTTGGGTAGTAAAAATAAGAATTTATTTTAACGAAAGCTGTAAAGCTGTAAAAATTTTAAATAGATAACTGACCATATTCTAAATAAAATTTAGAAGAAAAATACTGAATTGAACCTCGAAAAAAATAAAATCTAACCAGAGCATGATATTGGTTTAAGTTCATCGAGTGGATATGCATATTTTAAGTAATTATTATAAGCATGGTAAAACATTGATTTTACTTTGTTCCTGAGAAAGCAAATCTTCATTTCCTTCTTTTTTAAATTGCATAAAAAAGACTTATTTTATGGGATTTTTTACTTGCCGGATGAAAAAAAATTGAAAAATTTTCACTAATTCTAATCACAAAAATGAAAATAAATTGCATTGCAATTATATGATAATTTTCTTCATATACCCTTCTCCCTATTTTAATTTCATTCTCTTCCTATTGATCTTTCATCTGCATCCACTCGCATTGCTTCGTGTAACTTTTCATCAAAAATTCATTTCGTGGTCTTCCAACTAAAATATCTCAAGTATCTTCTTCCATAATTTCTTCTAATAGCATGCAATATTTTCGGTTTAGCACGATCCATCAACTAATACGGCAGCATGATTCGCATGGAGCCGAGTCGTCCGATTTTCGCTCTTAAGAGTTCACTTTCGTGACAAGAATGAAAGAGATCGGAAGAAAGTTCGAAACAACCACACTACCATCTTCCCATAGCCCTACTAATTTCTTCACCAAGAAGTGTTGCCTATGCAACACTTGGTGGGTTCTCAATACTATCGGACTTCAGTTTTGACAATTTACACGAAACAAAAAGCACTAATTATTATTTTATTTGAGAATCTGTATAAAGGGAAAATTACCTGTAATATCGAATCTGATTCGGTGTAAAATCTTTGGCACTGGTCGGCACTGTGTTATAGACAATAAATAAGAAGAAGAGACCATTAACCGACATTTCAACTGAAAGACGCGTATAAAGGACGATGTCCACAAATGGAATTTAAATGATGCGCGAACAAACGACAAAATTTCTTAATGCTCTCCTATTCTGGACAGAACACATAACCCTTTAATGCTTTCTGTTATAAACCATTAATTCTAAATAAAAATCACCAGCGCGTTTATTTATTACATTTCTCGTAGCACTAATCACATTCTTTAAGAAATCCGCATTTTTCACAAGGCTAATGAATCCTCAAAGGAATCCGTGGCCCTTGATCTCGCCTAAGATTAAAAAATGTCAACACTAAGGACGACAAATGAAGAATTTGAGGACAGATAAGTCGATGTGCCCCATCTTTTTGACTCACGAATTTAGATCAACAGATCAGCACACTCATAATCGATGAATCATCCTTTACCGACAGCCGTCCTACGTAAAACGCTATAACGCGATTCATAAAAATGCCACATCGTGATTGTTCAATAAATAACAAAGTAACAAAGTCGAGACCGAAAGTTTAGATTCCTAACAATCGGCTCAGCTGAAACATTTCAGTATGATCTGCGGTTCAATATTTATTAGATGATAGAAAATGTAGTGGGAATATCTGTAGTTTGAAGTGGATCTTAGAAGGAGGTGAGGTCGTAAATTTGGAAGAATATTGTTAGTGAATAAGGAATATTAAATTTATTTCAGCCAACTGAGAAAGGGATTTTTTTCTCTCATCTTATGCTATATATATTAATACTATAAAATAACATTATCTATCTTCGACAGGAGTGAATCTGTCATGTCAAAAATCCGGGCAGTTGCTGGAGACTCTCTTGTAATTCTATCCCCAAGTGGCTCTATCGTGGAAAGGTCAGATATTCTTTATACGGCGTCCGGGTCTTCCTACGCGCATGGTACTGGCAGCACGATGGTACGTGCGATAAATAAAATATGCTCCCAAGTCATGACAATTCTCTACATCTATCAAGGAAACGGCTCTCTGCACGTGCGATGAGGTGTTAGCCATATCAACGTGAAAGTCGGAGTGCTTATGGACGTTGCAAGCCAAGCGACCACTGTCCACACCCTTTCTGAACATTGCGTGGATATCACCTGCTTGTCGGAAATCCGTATTTCTCATTTCGGGTCTCGAATCCTGGCTCGGAGGTATTGGCTATGTGGTGCTTCGGATAAGTCGGTGCAAAATGGCCTAGTGATTGTCATGTCTAACAAGGCACATTCAGCTTTGATTGAGTGAAAACCGGTAAGCGATCGTATGAGCTATGCCAGCTTTAATGGTAAGTCCATAAGCATCTAGTATAAGCATTCTGCAGTATCTCAGTGGTTGCAAAGCGTATAAAGGATCGCATCATAAAACGGAAGGAATTCTTTTAAAAAATTCTTTCAATGGAGACCAAACTTAACCATGAAGCCCATATGTTGCCCTGGGCATAGCTAATATGAACCATATGTTTGCAACTGTGAGTCGCCAACAGAAAAAGAAATAATCTCCGTTATCCATAAGCTTAAGGCAAATAAGATTCCGGGAGGAGATGGTCTTTTGGCTGAGCTGTTGAAATGTTGTCCATCGTCCTTCATAACGCACCTTCAGTGCAAATATACTCTCTAGTATAGAAAAAAGAAATATTACCAGATGATTGCAGCAAAGCAATCTGCTCCCAGTTCTCAAGAAAGGTGATAGGACATACTGCGACAATTATCGAGGAATCAGCCTACCAGTCTCAGCGAAAATTTTTTTCCTTTTTACTCGGTAGGCTTATGGAAGTACAGGATACAGATGTGTCCTAATCATGTTGGATTTAGACCCGAGCGTGGTTGTGCTGACCAGATATTCACGGTAAAAATGGTGTTCGAACATTGCTTCAAATATTTCCACTCACATTCTTCATCGACTTTGCGGCCGCTTCGATTCAATTAATAGAGCGGCGCTTCGGAGAGTGATGAAACGCGTTGGTGTTCATTCGACTCATAAAGGGATAGTGTACATCGGCGCAGGGCTGTGTATTTGGGGAACTAACAGATTTCTTCGAAATGAGAATTGTATCTGTGATACAATTAGTGTCAGGGTTGCGTCCTTTTTCCTACATGTTCAACTATACGTTAGGCTGGGTAATGGACACCGCTTATCGGCATTTAAGAGGTGTCCATATCAATCCAGAGCATCTTATCACAGATCTTGAATAAGTTGATGATGTAGTCTTTTTTGCTGATAGCTATGACGAAATGCAAGTAATGCTAAATAAGTGTCAGAAATTGCAGTAAGAATAGGACTTAGGGTCAATGTATACAAAACGAAAGTCTTTTCGTCTTATATACAAGAAGCTGATATAATGCCTCTCTTTATAAACACATTGCTGGGTTAAGGAAATACCCGATTTTAAATACTTCGATCCACTCTATTACCGAATGACGAAAGAGAAATTATAACCCAGCTAGAAATGCGTTCTTCAAGTTGACGAAATCTTCATGGATCCATCGCGAAACCACCGTAAAAATGAAAGTCCGTATCTATATAGCATTTGTTCTGATCTTGCTATATGGCTGCGAGACATGAAAGTGAGAGTGAACGATATTACAAGATTAAGACCTGGTCTAACACGGTCAAGAAAGATTTTGAACGTGCAGGTGGACCAGCAATATATGAACTTAGACGATGGAAAATGAAGTGGCTTCTATTACCGTCGACGATGGCATCAGGTCGCGTAGCTTGGGAACGTCTTACTCTTGTAGCCAGTGGAATTGTCCTAATTAATAATGGTGAGAGCTATTAGAAGAAGAAGGCAAAGGTGATCAGCGATATAACTTTATATTTTTCACTTTTTCTTGGCATCTTTTATAGCAGTAAGAGTGTTGTGCCCACTGCAGCATTAGACACGTTAATTTTCAATAATATTTGAAAAATATTCGATAATAATGGATTAGAATTATATTAATTCAGGTCTTACCACAATTTCCAGTATTGTTATTCATTGTGTCAAAAATGTTATATGCAAGAATTACTGATGAGAAGTTCAGTTGTTATAGATCACTTCTGCATTTACAGTTACAAAGGTATTTAATTCTTATTGTGTAAAATATTTTAAAATAAGGGTGTTTACAATAATTATAATGTTATAATAATGATAATAATAATAGCTCATATTAGCAATAATGATAACAAATGAAATAAATAATAAATAATAGTGGCTAAGGCAATGATAATGATAAGTAAGTAATGACTGATGACGATCATAGCAGTGACAATAAAGTAAAAAAATGCCACAAAAGCGGTATATAATAACAGTAGTTAATAAATTCAATGATAATTTATGAAAAAGAGGCTGAATTTAACTGTTTTTATTATCGAAAGAATCTGATTATGATTGATCACATTGGTTTCTCAGATATTCTTTATGAATATAAATATTTGAATAATGCATATTAAATTTCAAAAGATACATCCCACTTACTTTTATGTATATTATATATTTGATCAGTGGGACAGCCAAGTAAATATTGACTTAGATTATCATATTGAGGCAAAGGTTCGGCACCTACAAGAGTAAGCTTGTCACTAAAAATCCGAGTGATGTTTGCAACCTACCCGTACTTCCATTGCCAAATGACTCCTTGGCAAAATTTTCTAACATATTAACAACCAGTGAAGCCAGTCTAACCAGAAAACGCTAACAATCACTATAGTAAAATTATCAATACTTATATGCCTGAGCTTCATTGTTACCAAAGAATCTAAATATTTTTCAAATCATAGAGATCCGCCAACAGTTTGGTTGTCTATCGAAATTAGATTCAACCATATCAAAAAAATGCATCATAAATTGTACACCGCACAATAATGCTGTTATGTCAGTGGCATCTAATTTCAAACATTTGGTGCTTAATGGTGATTCTACAATGGCTGAGAAATATCTCAACAAATCATGCGAGTTAGTCCTTCATTATTTCTATTAAGCATGAAATGCTCAATCGAACTGTTCTTATAAGAAAATTTCAATTGTTGAAAGCATTTACAGCATATACAATATTTAGATACTTTTAACCGTACAAGCATTTATTTACTTTATCTACCTTTTTAAAGTGAAGATATTATTCTGATTCTGATAGCTCATTTTTGTATCCACCGAATACTAGAATGAGGTTTTTCAACAAAGGGCTAGTTAGAAATTATTTTACAGATGATTATAGCTCCTCGGCCTTATCTAGAATAAACAGTTACAATTTTAAACTAGTGGCAACTAAACTAGTAAAATTCAAATCTATTCCAGACATGTTTTATGTTCGCTTCATTGCGATATTCCAGCAATAGCTTATTCATGTGGGCATCATACAGCAAATCTGGTCCTTAATTTAACCCGGAAATCCTTTAGATCTATGAAAGCGATGGCTTTAGACACGGGAGCAGTGGCAAAGTAAACTTTTACATTTTGTAAATAACTGATTTATTTCAGTATAATGCTTCAAACAAATGTTGATTAAATTTTAAGATTATAGTTAATCTGGAATCTTGTTTCTATTTTGTCAATATTAACACCCGCTCATTCACTCATTGTGTTTCATGAACTATAGATGGCCTAAAGCTTGCACAGAATTGGAAATTTATAAAGAAATTGCGCTCGTGGCACAACCACTTTGTTATGAAACCTCTTCAACACCACGAAAAGCAGCATTTGAAGCTCAATTATCGTCGACAAATGCGCCATTTCTATGCATAATCGTACTTTTAATATGCTTAGCAATTTTAAATTAGGCTATTTTCATGAATCCACGTTTTATTAATTCACCTTCTGGAAAGTCCTCTTTGAAAGAAAAACTTGCTCATTTTTCTCCTCAGCACGTTGTTTGCATTGTACCTCATTTAAAACTTTGACATTTGTAGTACTTTGTCAATGAGTTTAATGTTTCTATATTAAATAACCATTTCTATCATGATTTCGTGATATTAAGCGGCAACAATTAATGACGAGCAAGTCTGATAAATAAGCTAAATTAAGAACCGAACAAAAGAGTGAATTTTCTGTAAAAGTGAAAATTATTTATAACTAAGCAGTTCACTAAATGTGTTGGATTACTTGACAAAGATTTATGAAGAAAATTTTATACCTAACTTAAAAGTGATGGCGCTGTACGATTGTTTATATAATTTTTATAATTTTATAATTGTATAAATTTTTTCTTGTAATATATTCTATAGAAAATTTGCTTTTAACTCAGCCTTTAAATACATCAAATTTACAACTATTTACACAATTTTGTTTCTCATTTTTCACTTCTTTAATTTGTAATTCAATGGATCTTCCCATAAATAATTCCGTTTTTCTGGAGCGAATTTTTAATTATTTTTCTTATCGTAAAACTTCGTTATTCCTGATGTTAGCCTTGTGGTATTATTTGCCTCACATATGTGGTGGTTTCAACTTAAGTCGCCCAAAGATCCCGATAGATTAGAATAAAGAAAACTTTTCGCGCCCAATAATCAAGGCTGATCCAAATAAACATCGAATGAAATTGCTGAGAAAGCAGGTTATACCATTCAAACAATATGCAATCATCTGCATGCTGTAGCGAAGTCGAATGAAGCCGGAGTTTGGAGTCCACATAAAATCACGAAAGAGTCAATACTTCAACGACCGTATCTGTATTTCCTTTTAAACTTGAAAACGGACAATTTTTGGACCGAATTGTCATTAGCTGCGAAAATTTTCAACAATCTTAGCCGTAGATGTCATCGGATATCATAAAGAGAAACGCGAACAATAATTCTTAAACCCAACATTCATGGTAAAAAAATTCTACAATGTGGTAGGGAATAAAAGAAGTGAAGTAATTATGGACAGCTGAAACCTAGTCAAATCACTACCTTTGATGTTTGCTCAATTCACTAGCCTTCAGAAACAAGTTCCATCCAAATTCAGTAGTTTTTTAAAAATTTTATTTAATTATGCGAGAAGAAAGATTGTGTGAAAATGATTGATATCCGACTTTTATTGCGTTATCTTTGAATGAACACGTTGAATGTGAAGGAAATCTTGAAAAATTTATATTAAAATATCAAGGAAATTAAGCTATATATGTCAATTATAATTAGCATTTTCCATGACTTAGTGTACGAAATTTTTTTTTGTAGGAGTTTTTTGACCTTGGATTTCTTAAGATTATTTGTACTCGGTCGCTAGTAGTAATAAAATTCCTTTCTCCATCGTCTAAGTCCATATATCGCTGGTCCCCCTATATGTTCAAAATTTTTCCTGACTGCATCAGTCCAGGTGTTGATTGGCCCACCTCGCTTTTGACGCCAATCATCACAGCGTTTAGCAAATAATGAAATATGCGTCATCTCCTGTGGTGAATGACGGATAATGTGCCCTAATCAGCGAAGACGACGCTCTGTGATAACATTATTAATACAGGTGGTATTTGAGCGAAGGTGGAGGCACTTATGTGAGATTTTATCCACTAGGAGAACCCGTAAAATATACCATGGATATGAGTTGTCAAAGGCTAATAACTTATTATCTTCCACTCTCATTGGCCATATTTCAAAGCCATATAGCAAGATCGAACGAATCACGGCTATGTAGATGCGGATTTTCATTTTGAAGGCAATTTCATGACGGCTTTATAAAAGCATCAACCGGAAAAACATATTTCTAGCTGTCGTTATCCGCTTTACAATTTCATCCTTTGCCTGGCCATTTGGGATTAGAGTGGTTCCAAAGTGTTTAAAGTCAAGCACTTCCTCAGCCTGTAATGAATTGATAAAAATAGGTATTTTATCAGCATCTTGTATATAAAACGAAAACATTTTCGTTTTATTTACATTGATTTTGACTAAGTCCAATTCTCGCTGCAATTGACACGCTGTTTAGCATTGTTGCATTTCATCATAACAGCAAAAAGGACTACCTCATCAGCTTATTCAAAATCTGTAATGCTATGCTCTGGACTGACTTGAACACCTCTTCAGTGTCGACAGGCGATGCCTATTATCCAGTCTAGCATAGTTGATTATTGTAGGGGAAAGGACTTAGCCTTGACGGACACCAGTTCTTATTTCGGAGTCAGTTCCCCATATACACAGATCTGTGCCAGGGTATGCTGATAAAATTCCTCTATGAGCTGAATGATCTTCTCTGGAACACCTTCACATTTCATCACTTTCCAGAGCGCTGCTCTATCAAGCGAATCGAAAGGGTAGTTGCAAAATCGATGAAGCAATTGACGGTGGGCTGCTGATATTTGAAGCGATGCTCCAGCAGCCTTCTTAGCATAAATATCTGGTCAGCATAACTGCGTCCCGGTCTTTATTCAGCTTGTTTGGGACACATTCTCCTATCTCGTATTGCCATGAGTATATTTAGCAGAAGGAAAGCGAAAATTTTTTCGGTGATGTCCAGTAGGCTGATTTTTCGATAATTGTCGCAGTACGTTCTATCACTTTTCTTAGGAATTGGAAAAAGAATTGCAATCTTCAATCAATCTCAATCAATACAATCTTCTGGTAATATTTCTTTTCTCCACACCAGAGATTACCCATCTTCTCTAGGAGTTTTATTTACCAAATAGTGTTGCAGAGATCTGAACCATTAAAATTCAAAGTAGGCAATATCAGATTATAAGGTGAATGAAGTCTACTTTTTCACATAAATGCTCATTCCAGGGAAAGCAGTAGAATATGCCTAATCACTAATAGATACTAATAGCCGATGGCCTTCGGAAATCATATATTAAATTAGCGATTAGCGAGAATTTTTTCACTCCAAATTTCAGGTGAAATTTTTGAAATTTTTAGTAAAACGATCATTTTTCTAATACTTATACATTATCATCCAGTACACTGTTATTTTTCCGTGTGATTTTAAATTTATTTAAATTGAAAATTTAAATTAAAATTTCATGAAGCGATTGCCAAGCTAATTCTTGAATATAGGCTTTCGATAAGGAAGTAAAACATCAATCATTTATTACTTATCCTCATTATACTATATTTTGCGTTGTGCTTTTATCAGTTAATGAACGATAAACATAAATATTAATTTGAAATTTCAATTTTTCATAAAAATGCAATAATATTTAATGGAAGACCTAACATATGATTCAATGAAAATTTCTCATAAAGGTAGCAGGCACCATTTGCTCTAAACCATATTTTACTAATTTCATATTTACCTATTCCTGGTTCGCATTTACGAGTATTTACTTAATGTTGTAATACATACGGTTATATACATTTGATATGCAGTATGCAACAATTTTATCTTAAGAGAGTTTTATCATAGGATAGAAACCTTTATTGAAAGAAATCTTATCCAAAAATAAACAAAGACATATGAAAATTTTCCGGAAAAAAAATACACCAAAGATTTTAGATTTTGTACCGCAACCATGTTGATTAATAATAAACTGAGAAGAACGGATAAATGACAGAACATTATCTTCCAACAACTTGAAAATGCCTAAAATCAATTAGTGTTCATGATAGAATGCGATTTCTGGAGACAAAAGTCTATGGGGAAAAATTTTTTCAAATTTCATAGAATACTTGAGAAAATATGGTATAAAATGAGGCAAAAAAGGTGCTATTGCCCCAAATGCACCACTTTTTAAACCAATCGATCAGTTTCATCGATGAAAATACTCGTTTAAACAAGAATGTAAATTGATAACAAGCAGCAAGAAAAAGTAATACAAAAGAAACATAGAAATTTTCATTTCGACCTACCGTTTAACCCTTATATTGCAGTAGTTGCATACTTTTGTCAATAAAATTGTTTAGTTTTATTTTGAAATTATTTTTTTTAAAAAATATATGGAACCTATACTAATGCAAGAGAAATAAAAAAAAGGAAAAAGAATTTGATAAAGAAATTGAAATACTACAAAACGATTAATGGACCAAATACTTTGATATGATTGTAAAATACATGGTGAACATTTTGATAAGAATCATTCATTAGCCTTTAAAATCACAAGAAGCTTCATTTGTTCTATGATTTATAAAAGATAAGAACATAATGCACAAATGATTGTCGATCCACGATATCGATGCTATTTCTATCAATTCATTTTTGTGAAAACTCCTCTATAAGCCAATTCCTAATAGCTTGTTTAAAAGGTCTTCGGACCTGAAAAATTCAATTTCACGAATTTCTGTGGATTCTAGAAGTATTTAAATATTTTGAAAGTAACTATGTATTATGCTTGATAGATTCATAATTTAAAAGATTTTCTGTAGAATGTTTATTAATAATAGAATCACTTCCAATCATTATTTACTGCATTCTTCGGCCAGCAGCAAATGTGAGAAAAAATAACTTTGGTAGACCAGCTTCTACCACTTTTGAATTTCATGGAGTGCAATTTCAAGTTTTCAAGTTCGTTATATTTAGAAACATTTGTTACCGCCGCTTATATCAGGGACGCATACTCTACTCCCACAAGTAACAAATCTGTGTGCTACAGACGATTCCTTGCACTTTTGTCGTCAAGTGAATCGTCTTGACAAAATTTTCTGACCATATTAACAGTTAGCCAGACAAGAAATGGCGGGTGGCTATAACATGTTTACTTTTAATACTTGCGTCAGAACTAAGATTTTTCAACGAGTAATAATGCAAATTAGGTGGCCTTTGATGTCAAGAAAGTGAGTAAATATAAATTTAAATATAAAAGAAGTATAAATTTCGAAAGTGAGTTTAATGTCTCTTGAAAGGATTATTTGTGAAGGCCAAAATGTTTTGAACTTATCTATTTCAGGAGATTATGAGAATCGTACTGAACTCTCTCATTTTTATCATCTCAATCCCTGTCATTTGCACTTTTTCTTGCAAAGCTCATAAACAGTCAAACGAATGTCGTCAAAAATATCCAAATTGCTTGTGAGACTTTGCTAGTTTGAACTAGGAAAGAACAGTTTTAAGATTATCAGCCACTAATCTGCCGTAAATACTGATAATGAATTTTTCTTGAAATCATTACAAGATACTTTTAGTATTATAAAGACTGTAAGACTTCAAGAAGATGTTGCATCAATATTTCAGCTCACAGCCATTTTTTATAGTTTTTTAACCAATAATGATGATTATTTCGATAAAAGTCTATAGTAATAGAAGCAAGTATTATAAATAAGTAAAAAAATATTGCCATAGCTGACAATAGCTATGGCAATCATAAACCAAGAACAGTTACCTGAAAATGGTATATATGCTTTAGCTGGTGTCGGTTAAGCAACTCATGCCTTCAAGCTGACAGCGTGGAATGTCGCAAAAAATTCGAAATTCCAAAAATCTTTGGAAAATTTCTCAGTGGCAAATCAACGGACGAGGAAAGCAGGTTTAATGATAAGTTCGCTCGAATAATGTGTCTCATTAGTGCCGCATCTTATGCTGATCACCCTCAGAGCTGTCTAAGCCAGGCAGTCGGTGATTCTCAGGTGAATAGCTTCCAATTTACTTTTATTTCATAATTCTTTATCCAATTTTTATAATAATTTTGTTATTCACACTATCTTTTTATTCATTAAGTTTACAGTTCTTTATGCAGTCCTTAATGCTGGGGCCACTTTCGTCTTTACTTTCCACATCTTCTCTAGTTCCTCTTTAGCCCTTATATTTCTCTATAATAGTTTTGCATATTTCTTCTTCCTGATTCTTCCTCCTTGATAGTATTGCTATATCTATCAGCATTGATAATTTCCGGTTCTCGTGTACCACCACCATATCTGGTTCTTTGGCCAGTTACTTGCTTATCTATCTAAATGGGAAAACCCTACAAAATCTTGGCCTTGTTGTTCTCCACGATTTTCTCCCAGCTGGTCTTAAGAGAGTGTAAGCCCTACACTATATATAAATATGGAAAAAAAATGCATCGGCATCGTGAAAGTTTAATGGTTTGATGTTTCACATTTGTTACTGATATGGATAAATGATTTTTTAAGGTAGTGAAGCAGTACGCAGTCAAATGTAATCATTCAAATAGGAGTATATGTGCAGGGTTCATAGCTATTAGTAAGAAAGCCATTATTCTAGCTTTTCGGTAAGTGCTTTACCTACATTTTTTCCTGCTCTTTATGCTATAAAGGAACATGTTGCTTCCATAAAAAATCAGTTTTTTTCTCATTTTCATATCTCAAATCTCATTTTTACCGATTACTTGACTTTAATAACAAAGATTTCAGGGGATCAACATCAGTTCTGCAAGTAGTTGAAGAAATAAATGAAGTCGCTTTTAGCGCAACAGTGCCATTCATTGGAGGAGGAAACGTTAGTTGTATCTTTTGAACTGCCAATGATAAATCAAAAAACCAGTGAATACTATTTTTGGCAAATTTCCATACAATTTAAGAATACTTTTTTCTATAATAGCCAAATTGTAAGAAGTTATCGCTATAGGCATAATTAGAAGAATGCCTGAAAAATATAATATGGATTTGTAACACAGACAATGTACTTAATAAAATTTTGTCGTTTAAAGTTATATATTTGTGAAAATAGGAAAAATTCAATTCATTTGGGGCGCTATATCATTAAATTAAATTGTATATTATTAAATATTAAACCATCAATGTTAACCCATAACTCATTAATTTTATGGCTGTTTGAAAATTATATGCAGGTTGGAAGATATTTTAATGATGCATTTATGGATATATGGAATGACAGCATGAAGGATGATTTCATTAATTTGACTATGGAATATCCCAATCATTTTATATGGGTCAGTTCGATTTTATAATGATCGTTCTTTTGATCGAAATGCATAAATAAACGATACGTTTACACAAATTTGCATAAGTATAACGAAGTTTAACGCGAATATAATCGATCAGTATTTATTTCATTCATGATTTCTTTATTGAAATAAGATGAAATGCGAATTGATAACAGTAAAAAATTTTCAGTATTCTGTATAATAGCATTCTGATACGGTGACTTTTTTTTGGTGGAACTTTAGACTATTATCTTTACAGGTAACTGGTCACTCACTTGGTGGAGCGATCGCATCATTAACTGCTGGTGCAATAGTTGCAGAAAAACTCTGTGATGCTAATCGCATTAGAATGGTTACTTTTGGACAACCAAGAACTGGTGATTACAATTTCGCTAGTAGACAAGATCAAAATGTATTTTTATGAAATTTATACTCGTTTCCATAAATTTTCGATTTTAAACAAAAAAATCACATTTGGGCATATTCTGAATTGTCTTTGCAACATTTCTATACTGATAGCATTTTATTACGACGGATTTAATTTTATAAAATAAAATTTTAATAAAAAATGAAAAAAACAAACTTTTTCTTCGTATAACATCATTGGTTTCGTATAACACCTTTATTGGTTTAGCTGCTCCTACTAAGGTGTTTTCTAGTCTCCCAACCTAATACCATGCCTGAAATTGTCTGAAGTTAAACTATAAAAAAATTTAACTCCAAGTTCGAGATCTTTGTTGATCGAGATTCTTGAAAAAAGTTCATTATTATTCGTATTTAATATTGAAGAGGCTGCTACCTTCTTTGATTTTTTCGGCACCTCAGAGGCACAGGAAATATTAGAGGGTTTTTAGAATTAAAAATATAAATTTATAATAATAAATAATTTAAAATATATTACTTTAAATTATTGAGGTAATCTCTAATTTTTATAATTATATTATTTTCAAAGCTGATTTTATATTTTCGATAATAACATTAATAAGTGGCTTCGCAGGCTATTACTACGTTAGAAAATTTTGCTACAAATAAGTTACAATCCAAGTTTTCAAATGACAAGCTTCAGTCAACAAAACAAAAATTTACTTCTTATAACAATGGTCTGAATCATTATCCACTCGGCTATTCCACCTTCAATGACATTAAATTGATAAAGAATGTACTTGAGGGCCTGAAAATAATGATTGGAAATGCTTGGAAAATAAAGAAAAAAAAGTTGAAAGTTATCGTCAAGCCTTTATTTGATGTTTTTTCTCGACAGTCTTTTTCAGATTCCTTATTCATTTCGCGTAACCCACGCTGCTGATATCGTCCCACATATTCCACCGCAGAACTTTCATGGCTTCAATCATCATGGTGTCGAAGTAATTTTCCTTTTTATTTGCTATCGCAATCTTTTTATTTTATTTTATCCCATTCAATTAGGCAAAACAATGTGAAAACTTTAGTTCACATAAGTGAAACAGCGATCCGGAAGGATCCATAAATAAACGATAAACTGTTTCAATACTTTTCATTTAATGCCATTGAAAATCATTCAATCGCTACAGATTTAAATTTAATTTTTCAGGTTTGGTATAATAATGAAATGTCTGTCAAAGATTCTTATTTAATTTGTATTGGATCAGATCCACTGAACTGTAGCAATTCGATCCCCGCCATTTCAATTGAAGACCATCGGCGCTATTATGGAATTCTAATGAGTCTATATTGGATGCAAAATTGCACTAATATCAACTATAATCTGAAGTTGTAATGTTAAATATGAATTTATATATAAGTTTTATGCTAGTGACATATTGCATTTTTTACTAATATTTTTATCAAACTTTTTTTTGGAGGATAAATCTAAATATCCAATTTTCTTCTCTCCCATCGCATTCTTTTCATATTTTCCACAATCATTATCCGCAAAATATCGTTATTCCACAGTAGCAAACACGCAAACAAAAAATGAACGAATAAATAATACAATGAATGGACATTATTTCGCTTTTTTTTGCATTTTTTTTGCACTCTTTTGACAAATATGTAATTTACATAAACCAATAGACAAGAATGAAATTTTCTAGATTACCTATTCTTTTTATCAAATTTCCTCTATTAATTTGCGGAAGTTTGTGGTATAAAATAGATTTTATTTATTTTTTTGACTATTTTATTAACATTTAAAGCTAAGACATAAATAACCCTACTTTATAAAAATAGAATTAAAATTCGTAAACCAGAATCATAAATCTGGAATTCCACAATTTGAGTTGATTAGAAAGAAAGAAAAATATCGCTGATAAGAATTTACCATTACTTTTTGAGAAGTAATGTTTACCTTCTGTAACTCGAGTAAAAGATTTCCCTTTTACTGCGATTTACAAAATCACGAACGAAAATTTTGATTCAAGACGAAAATTTAATTTTGATTTTGATTTAATTTTGATTTGATTTTGATTTAAAAAAAAGTGCTTTTTCATAAAGATGCATTCGATTACGATTGGAAATTGGTGATGCAATATTTTCTTCAAACATTATTATCTATTCGCTGAAATTAGCCAAAGAAACAGTGAGCAAGATAATCAATTGGTATATTTGCTTCAATTTTATCCGTGATTTCCTGGTGGGTATAATCCTGTCATTTAAAAAACCTGGCAGTTCTAGCGACTGGTACTTCTATTGCCAAGTGATTTCCTGCAAAAATTTGTAACCAAAGGAGTCACCCTAATTTTCTTGATTAAAGGACAATATAGATCTAACTTACTAAATGGATTTCACCAAGAAATGCGATCTTGCATGAAAACTTTTCTTCAGAAATTTTATCGAGATATTAATCATAAATTTTTTTAACTTTAATTTCCTTTTAGATTCTTTATTGTATAACGGTATCCAAATATGGCTGTACAGTTTTATTTATGCAGATTTCCCCTTATATAGTTTTTTTTCATTCATACACTTTTCTAATTTTACGCAACGAGTTTCAACCAATAATGCAGATATGCCATTTTTTCAAATCTCTTGACTTTATTAAAATATCACTAAATAACTAATAGCATTTGCATATTTAGGAACTGTATAATTTAACTGAAGTTGGAACTGTTTCTTAAGAACTACAGAAGCACATGAACTTCTTGCCATTATTTTTTAAAACCATTTCTTTTTCATCTAATATGACGCACCATTTCTGGTGGCTCTACTGGCTTGGGACAAGACTATTTAAAAAATTGATTCTCAACACTATCTAAATGGCACTTTTGATGACAGATTCACTCTTTATCAGGAGACTCGAATCGTTTGACCCTAGACTATGTTTACAATTCAAATTCATCTAACTCATCGTTTCATCCAAATATTTTTTTCTTAATAATTGTTAGATTTTATCTTTACCGTACTAAAACAATAAGAATTAATGCAATGGCTATACAAAAAAACGAATATTTGTCGAAAATTATATTTGCGCTTCAAGCAATTTGGCGGTTTGGTCTGCATATTCTAAAGTTAGTTTTCTATTTAAAAAAGTTTATTGCTGTGGATAAAATTTACGACCGGGTTTCAATTGTTGCCGCAACTTTCTTTCCTTACATTATTATTTCTGAATGAATATTTTTACTCATTTTTTCTTATGTGATATGTGATCGTCATGAATAATTGATGACCGAAACTATCTTTTTTATTTTTGCAACATCTTTCTGTGATCATTCGCCATTTTTTGGATCATTCTGACTAGCATGAAATCATTTCGCCAGGGAGTTACTTGAGGATGGAAATGCAAGTGGATCGCTGCATCTAAATTTTACTTTTAATAATGTTTATTCCAGTTAAGAGATCTAGTGCCTGATAACTGATAACTAATCTATAACTGATTTATTTGATCTTGATTGAAACAAAATGCTACTTGACTATCTTGTTTCCATCATTTCGATCTATTTTTCAGTTTATCTTTTTATTCTGTATTTGGCTCCCTCTTATTTTTTTCATACTTTAGATTATCATCTCAATTCCTGGAATATTTTTCATTAAGGTGAGATCCTTTTGAATGATATTTAAAAAATTTGCATTCGCATTTACACGATAGTGAAAACGTCTAGATTAACTATTTTAAGGCCATTTAAGATATTATTTTGTGCTTTCCGAACATATTCAGCTTATATCGTCTAAATTAGAACCTGGTATTATTATTTTTTATTTATGAAGGATGCCAACGAATGAATGGTTAAAGAAAAGATTTGGTAAAGTATCTTCCGAGCCTATTCAGACTAGGGTTTAATTCTAGCACAGCTAGCTCCGCTGACTGTTGCAAATTTTTTTTAGGGAAATGCGTTCGTAGAAGTGCGGGTGGGCTGTCAACATTAGCCGAAGTTTCTATAGTGCTCAAAGTAGACTGAAGCAGTGTGTGGTCATCTCTATCCTAAGAAAAATTTAAGCTAAAATTTGAATAAATAATAATTTCTGTCTGTCATATCTGTAGTTCATAATGCCACATTTCCGATACTTATCTCTGATCATTTTAAACAGAATGTGGTAGTTTCTCAATCTAAGAATGGTCTTTATATTCATTTTTGACTGTAAATTTAGCAGAAAATTAATTTTCGCTGGCATTGCATGACTATATATAGCTAAAAATTTTCAACTAATAACAACAGATCAGAAAAAAAGAACCATCATATTATCGCAGAAAGGTTCTTCTTTTCGTAAGATAATCATTATACGTGCTACATGATCTTCAGAGTTCTACGTCACCATCACCATGTTGTCAAATGAAATCACCACAATAACATACAATCTGCGATTGCGAACAACTTCGCAAAAGGGTAAATCGAAATATTATTTATTCAATGATTCAATGAAAAGGAAAAAGCGCTTAAGTGCTGCTATTTTTAATGTTTTTGATGGGCAATTATTTCATGGCTTCAATTTATTTTTTATTTGTAAGTTTTGAAATTTGTAAGTTTAGGTGCGAATATGTGATTGTGCTGGCATTTGGGAGCACCAGTGCGGTGTATCAACATGTAACTGCACTGATCAACAAAAACATAGTTTTTGCAGATGCAATTCTCATACTTACTAGCTAACAGTTCTCATACTTACTAGGTACTTCCAATCATTACTGTTTTTATTCATATGATTCATCTTTCCATGTTTTCAAAATTTTCTTTAGTCGAAACTGATTTTAGTCTCGTTAAACTTTGATTCAAAACCTTTCTGAAAGATAGTTAATTATGGTTGCTTACCTATTTATTTGTCCATACAAATAAAAGATCGAGCAGAGCTTATGGTTATGCTTATGCGATTAGATTAAAAATGTCAAACAAAGGATGAAAAAAATAATCATATTGATAGCAGGTAGAGTTTGAGGAAAAGTATTGAAATGTGAAATTATGTAAAAAATTTTTATAACAATATTGCGAATAAATTTCTTTTCATAACTCGTCCCAATCTTCATTTCGACTGTACCTGTTGCCATTATAGTGGAATAATTGAGCAATTTCGCATAATTATGATGATGGTTATTCAATTTTTTTCTAAACATGCGATGAGATAGCACACATATTTCGTCAATAGGTGATTTAATCCATAAGTAAAAGCAAGATTGGAGAAATTATCGGTTTCATTCTAAAAAGAGCTGAAATTATGGTAATTGTCTATAAATTTTCTGTAGAAATATCAAATTTTCATTCAATTTATTAAGATGGTCCTGGCCCATCCTTCCATGAAAAATTTTCAGGATAACTAGCTTCATGTAGTTTCATATAGTTTTAGTTTCATTAATATTAACATGATAAAGAACCATTATCACTGCTTTGAGATGCTATATATTAATAACAAGCTGATATTAAAAATTTTTATTTTGATGGTGTCGTGTAGACACTGCCAATCTGCAGCCTTCATTTTCGCTTATTCAATCACCACCAACACAAATGATATCTCCATTTCGATCGCAAGCAAGGACTCATATCGATTGTCAAAATATTTTGATTGTTTCTGGCATCAATATTATGAATTTGTAAGCTAGATAGCGACGAAAGTTCGACAAGCTGAAACCCACGGATGTCCATCTATATGCTCTCCTCTTTGCAACTGTCAAGTTCTTAATCAGTGCTAAGTTCTTTAGCCTCAAAAGACTATAGTTATTCCCATATTACAACAGAAAACGAGCAAAATTACGCAGGTTGCGAATCAAGAATGTCCATTACTAAATATATCTCTGTGCCAATGTTCTGGCCAGACTCCTTCACAAATTCGGCAGCCAATTATTATGACGACACGCCAGTCAATATTTATCAATTTTCTTGCTCTTTCACAGTTGCTTACAACAAACACAAATATTCTCAACATAGCCAGAAAATAGCCAGACTATTCAATGCATACCATCATGCGATGCTTTTTGCGTGCAGAAAGCTTGCATAGCTCTTTTCCAGCAAGTGTGTGAGCCAAAGTGCAACAGAGTATAAATACTGCATATGCTGAGGCATCAGTGCAGCATTTTCAAAAACGATGCGCCGCAATATGTATGCCATTATACAATCATGCTTAGAGCGACATACCGGGCAATTCTTGTGATTCAAAAAACTGCAGAAACAACAGAAATAAAATCACAGATCGCCTATCTGCAACCCTAAATGACTCAGATTCAACTAGAGGAATGTCCTAGGCCTTGCCAGCCTTCATGCTCCCAACCAGGTGTTAGGCTATGTTTCACTTGTATTGTTTTATGCCATCCTGGTTGCCAATCATCATGCGAATGCAAAATGCACAACTTCTTGCTCACGAAAGTGTGAAAACTTGTGCATAAGCGGAAGCAATAACTAATTATAACACAAAGAGAACCATTCATTAATTCAGCAAGTGGAGAGTACTACCTCATCGATTATACGTCAACAACCATACTCATCACCTAGTCAGGTAAAAAAATTTTTTTTTAATGAGTGCTCAACATTCCTAAGTAAGGCTCTTTTCACTGATTTAATGGGCTAGGCAAATTTTGTCAGGCGCACTTTGCAATCGATTTTTTGAAAGACAGCTTGCTTCGACCAAGAATCTCTATAACATGGGCACTCCAAAATTAGAACAACAATCCACTGAATGAATTCCAATTTTTTTAATAGAATAAGGAATTAGGGTTGTTCAATAGAATAAGGAATTTTTCGAAACCTTATTCGAACCCGGCAGAAGAGTTATCTTTCGGTGAACAAAATTATAGCAATAAATTGCCATTCTCATCTCATGCTAACTTTCGCTAAAGAGCCATTGAAGGTATATTGCAATAAATATTAATAATCTTCTCTCTTAATGGCGTCTTGCAGACATTGCACCTTGCAGTGGAGTTGAAAATTTTTTCTATAATAGATTGTTCTATAGTTGATGAAATGCAAAGTACAGGTCAAGTGCAGTGCGATACAGCTTACTTTAAATTTTACGTTCGTGAAATTTATCACTTTCAACAAGAGAAATCTAAAAAAATTATAGTTCTTAGACAGGCATGCATTTTTTGCACAAAGCTTTGTAACTTTGACTTTAGTGGACAATGAAGTGGAAGCTGTTGCCTCATTATTCCGGAAGAACTGAACAGTTAAGTCGACATTTCTATTTTTTACGTCAGAATCATTTATCTTTTATTCTCTTCATTGTTCATTTTACTGCAATATTAAAAAATATACAAATTTTTGCAGCTTCATTTTTGGCTTAATTGAATTGCAAGTCTAATAAATATAAAGTTAAAATTTGAAAATGGTTTAATAATTATTCTGAATTTATTCTGAATTCTGGCTCTTTTAAGATAAATTGAGTCTATACGGTTTTCTCTTTGAAGGTTAATGGTGAAATATCTTCTGTTGTCTTATTTGGTTAATGAAGGGCAATCTTTGATCATTTATAAAAAAGAAGTTAGAATTATTTGATTACATTGAATTTTTTGTATTTTTATAATAAATTTTTTATTAACTATTTATTATCTAATTTTATTTCTCAAAAACTTGTCTATACCATAATTTGTTGCGAATTTTTTTGTGTTCGCTCGGTAAAAATAACATCCTGAGAATTATATTTCTTGGCATGTGTGCTTTAATTAATTTTGTGAAAATAATCAGAAAATCTCTCTCTTTTCCTTCTGATAGCTCTTTTCCTGGCTTGAATTGCAAACTTTCGGATCTAATCCACCAGAGGGATGAACGAATGAGTTCCCAGCTCTGTCTGGATTTCACTTCTAATAATAGGTTCATTCTCGACATAGAATATCATAGAAGGCACTCATTTATGTTGAACAATGTTCATTTAAGAGAAGGGCAAATAAGTAAACGTCTTCAATTTTTCGAGAACAATAAGTTTTTTTATGACTTTTTGCACTTTTCTGTTTTTAGATAAATAAAAAAATTTTATTCAGGCAGCAAAATATATATAGTATTTACAAAAAAATTTTTTTTTGTTGTATCATTGGCAATAAATAGTAGAAAATGATATCGCGGAATAATAAAATCAGATAAAACTGAAAAATTTTCTTTGCAAGTAATTTATAGCCCAAAAATTGGAAAATCCTATACATAATCTCATTCTTAAGCGCAATCTTCTAACAGCTGCTGGTACTGCTGCTGGTTAGTGTGGCTGTATTAATTACAAGGATAAACCATAATAAATAATTCATACGGTTTTTCAGCATTTTTTTCATCATCCAGAAAAATGCTTTTCCTGGCGCTGAAAAAAATAGTTTCTAAGACAAAATACAATGTAATGTATAAGAAAACAAAGTATTACTTCTGTTTCATTAAATACGATAATAATTAAGTAAATAAATACGATAATAATAATAATTATGTCGATTACATTTCGTGCAATTTGACATTTGCGATTTTCATTTTCATAAATCCATTTGGTAACTATTCTCCTTCATTTTTTCACAAGGTATAAGCCCCTTTTGCGATAAGAATGAAGGGAAAACTCAATTTGACGAAAGAAGTTTTTTAATTAATGCAAAAATAAAAAATTGACAAAAATCTTGAATTTCTAAAAGTCTAAGTCTATACATAGTCTAATAATGATTTTTGGCGTAAGTGTACGAACTAGGAGCAGCCAAATTTTCATGTTGCATATAGGGACATACGCCTGGTGCAGGACTGACCACGAATGGGTGGAAGTTCCTTGCCTTTTGACGGTCATAAAATTGCTTGATTCGTGAACAGTTTAAAAATAGCAGAACTAAGATGAGTAATACCTGTAAACAACTTTTATACGAGTCGTTTTAGAAAACAAAATTTTAAAATCTTCTACACAAAATAAAATTTTTGAGTTTTAACTTTTAACTATTTTTGAACAATTTCTTTTAGCAGTGAATTACAACAGTACATTCATTTCCTTCTAATAAAATTCTTTTTTAAGGATGTTTAAGAATGTTCTATCGGATATGGAAGTAATATTTCCAAAATTCTCAATCTGGTATTAAATCGGAAAATAACAGAAGCCAATCTTTTTTCCGTCCTCTTTATATCATTGTACCGCCGATGAGTCCGCTCATAGGACTGTACCAACAAATTTTAATTAGCCCTTTTCTCTTTTGAAGCAAATCTATTTTGTCTCTGAATATTAATTCTGCGATGGAAAGTGGCGAAGTAGTCAGTGCTATACTCTAATGTTGATAATGATGTATTCCTGATATTCCTGATCACATTCTTGTAAAAGCTACAATTAACGTTTTTTTTTGACCAGCAATCTCTGACTGGCGCGTCTTGGTCATCCATTATTTTTTGTTCTAAAATATTTATGAAGATCACTTCCGATCAATTCATCTCAAATACTCTGTATAAGCCATTTGAATCGATGTGAAAAAAGGCTCACATATAAATGAATTCCCATTATCAGATATACAGATTATTTTTTTCTTCTTGTATTCAAATCTTTGTTCATTCAGATCTTCTTTTTATTCAGATTTTTGTTTATTGTACCAGATTCAAATTACAATGGCTTGAAACATGCTCCTGCGATTTGCAACGAATAGCATGAACTAATCGCTAGTTGAGCCAAGGCAATGGCTTGTGACTATATGCTGCTAGTAATTTAGATGCTGTTCAAGCGATGGTGAATACAGTCATCTAAGATTTCATTTCGATGGTTCAGCGAAAATATATTTTGAGGAGGAATGGTTAAAACAAATTAAGTAAATGTTTTTATGTTTTTTGTTTCCAAAATGTTTTTTTTCTGATAAAATTTACCAAAACGACTATGAAAATAGATGGAACAGCAATGAAGATGAGTGATGATACGCTTTGTTTGTTGAGAATCAGTGCATTTTGTGATGAATTATTTCCAAATGATATTGGACTCAACTGTACCAACTAAAACTCAATTTCAATCATACATTAAAAAATTATCTGAGATTTACCATAGAAATAAGGAAATCAATTATTTTCTACAAACATTAGCACGATCTTTAAATAAATTTACCATGTTGAAAATCAAGCTTTACTGATAGATATGGCTATAACTATGAATGATGAAAAGTAAAATTGAATGAGCATAGGATTTAACTGATGAAAAAAACCAAAAAAAAACTATTGAACGTGGATCTTACCTGCGTATCAGCTATCCCTTTTATACCAAGCACCGCTTCTAAATTCCAATCCTTAGCAAAAGCGTTTGAGATTCTCGAGTTGTTAAAAAGACAGGCCCGTAATGCGTAGGATTTTGCAGTAGGATTAACAGTCCGGTTGACAAAGAAAATAAATGGCGAACTGGAGAAGAGATCGTGACTAATAATTTTCTACAATAAGGTTTTATTTTTATTTGTCTTCTTTCATTTTATTCTCTAACCTTTGCACCAAAATCGGTTGCATTCTTTTTTATAATTGAATATAAAATCATAAGAACATATGAAGGCAACTAAGAATTGATAGTATAGCCGAGTGGCCTATTGAATCAAGTATGATAGGCACGATTCCTGTCCCTTAGACCAGTTTTAAGCTTTATACTAAAAACAGTTTCAAGCACTTTCAATCATTAAAAGTGAAATTCAGTGATTCTGAGAATCCACCCGTATTCCCCAAGTGGTCCTCAGAAAAGAATCCATTATAGCAGTCAATAAATGGAGTTAGTTAAACCAAAAAAGGCGAGAAGAAGGAGAATTAATAATGGTTAATTAATAAAGGTATTTCGTTTAAAATTTTGTCTTTTTTTGACTTTTTTTTGTTTTGCTGTTCTCTTCTTTATTTTTAAATGAAGCAGCATGGAATTATTTTGTAAAAAAAGATACTGAAAATCCGTATCGGTAACTATCGATTAAACTGAAGAGAGAGGAAGAACTAATTTTAATTCAATCAAAAAAGTAGTACTAAATGAATTTTTTTAATTTTTGTGAATTCAGTAATAAATGAAATTCCCATTTTGAATAAGTTTATAAAAGCAGCTCTCCTCTTTTAGAAAAATTGCGACAGTTCGATTTAATGCTTTAAACTAATCATAAAACGTACATTCGTTCGAACTACCATTTTGCTTCTGGCTTCAGCAGGCTCCTCGAAATTGTATCCATGGATGCTTATATTTTGACCTGACTCGTGGATTGTTATCGCCGCGGGCTTCGCTTTACCAAATTCTAGAAATAACCGATCGAACTGACTAATCTGCGATATTTCATCCGTAATCTGTAATTGTTTATAGAAAACGTATTCTTTCTCTTTCATTCAGCATTTGTTAAACTTTTGCAGTTTATTCTAGAAGGTAAAGCTAACATTTAATTTGAAATATTAAAATTAATCACATTTTTTTTTCACCCAAAGTGAAAAAACAAGTCGCACTAAGCAAGGATGATGAATCCAATAATCTGGTACCATAAAGTACTCTCCAAATCAATTTATTTATAATTTTGTACCAACACAGCTATTAATTGCTTTATATGGATCTATGGATTATTAGATCAAAAAGACCAGTCTTAATTATTTATTCCATGAAAAAGAGGCGTAGAAATAGAAAGATAGATGTAGTTAGTAAGTAAATTTAGTTGAAGTATTTGCATTCATAATATCTATGGAAATGCATTAAAAATAATAAAGTTCCAAAACCAATAGTATCATAAAATTTTTTGTTTGAAGACCAGGAACAAAAATTACTTCTTTATTTCGTAAATAAAGAACATGCAAATTTGGATCCAATATTGCATTCATGTTACGTTTAGATAAGCATAAAGCATCTGAGATTTGATCGTTTTGCTTAATGCAAGCCCCATTAGGCATACTCATATACAAATCGACTGGACAAATACACCTGAAATACATTTATTTATTTAAGTACATTGGTTAATTCAAGCTGCATCAAACTGTATCGGAAAGCGACTATTGTGTCCAAAATTTCTAAATTTTCTGGAATTCGTGGAAAATGAAAACGGAAAAAAGTTAAATACAACTCAACTCAACTCAACTCAATTGAAAAAAATATTTCGACGAAGATGTTTCGCTTGATCGTAGTTAAATTAATTCAAAAATTTTTTTTACTTTTTCTGTGAGACGCATCCAAATTCACATATTACACCATTTTGAAGTATACATGAACCATCATGATGGATTTTTCGCCAAATTTTTTCTTCTGGAGCAAACAGTTGTTGAGATGGAATTTCTATTTCATTTGGTATCGGATGTGAAATTTCACTCCGTTCTAGTTTCTTTGTTGTTGAAATCAAAGTTGCGGTATGAATCGTTTTCAGTGACTGATGAATAAATGTATTGACAAGATCAACAACAGATTCAGTTGTGGCAGTCTGAGGAAGAATTTTTTTATTCGACAAAGCCCCTGTGATGGTTGATTCGTGAGAAATATTGCTTTCAGTAAGCAGAGGTTTCCTGGTGTAGGAAATTTGAGCGGTAGGCGGAATCACTATAGTTGGGACAGCAGCCTTATACGTGGCGAAAAAGTTACCATGTTTAATCATAGCATCTCGTATTGTTATGTAGTACCTGCAATTCTTGTCATGCCTACATGTGCACGCTATGAAATATCAAAAGGAAATGTTAGCCTAAAAATATTTTAATAAATAAAGAAATGAATAAAAATATTAAAATTTTGGACCCTGCTGGAAAAAAAAACCCACTGATCGATTTCAGATGGCAGAGATGATGTCAGTAACTTTTGAATAAGCGGTTGAACGCTAGAATTAGAGCTTACTGAAGCGATGTTTACACTGAGCTGTTTGAACAAGGTTGAATTAGCCGGTGTAAACTGAAAATGAAAATGAACAATTTTATCTGATTTGATTTCAAAGTTGATTTGAACTTGTTCTTGATAAAAACATGAAAAAAATTTATTACGCAAATTCGCTTTGTTTTTAGACTGAGAAATAACAGTTAATAATCAGATGATAAAATTAATTGTTATTCTCATAAATCATTTAGTTTCAGCAAAAGACCATCATTACGGTTTTATATGGACAGGGAACATACGATTTTGGAGTGACGGATCGTAGGATTTGATAGCGACACGGTTGTGACTGCTTCACTGATCCCTTGTGATTTAACAGCTTCTTTGTAATTTGATTCGGATTCTAGATTCCCCACCCCACTTATAAAGCTTACAATTGAATTCTTTGAATAATTCGCATGCCCTTTTTCCAATACACTACCTAAAACACTAGTATTTATTCATTTTTAACATCATTTCATAGCACTTATTTAGAAGACCAATCTGGATTTCAAAGAATACTGGGAAAATTTCAAAAAGTAAAATATTTAAAAAATGATTGTTTGGCTCAAATAAATGACAACTTACCTATTGAAGATATATGACCAAAAGCGAATTTTGTTGAATTAACTGAAGTGGTGCAACCGATCCCGCCTCCTGGATGACATCGACGACTAACTAATAAAGGACCTTCTATTTTTGAACATTCACCGCAACTCCCAAATGATTCGGATGCTGAAATTAAAAAACATTCATTCTTATTTTAAAGCATTGTTATCTGTTAGGATTCTCATAGCTCATATCTGTCGATGACGGAATTCTCCGAAAACAAAGGCAACTTGAGGGCCCATATACTACTCTAAAATCATGCGACACTATAATGGTGCAATGAAAATAATCTGATTAATTAATCATTTTAACAGAAAATACCAGCCCAAATCTCTGAGTAGAGAGCGAGCTTTCCAACTAGAATACTTCGGGATTGTACTCTTTCCTAGACAACTTCCAACTACGAACAGGACTACTGAGCGATCTTAGAAATGTATAAATCATTCCAGAGCATAGTATTATAAGTCTCGAACATGCTGGCGACGTGGGCCTTTTCGCTATTCGCTATTTTCGCTATTATAATAGAGAACTACACATACATAAAAAGTGCATCAATAATTCCAGCGAAAATCGGGTAAGCTCATTTTGCGTTAAATAAGCTATGGTAAAATTATTAGATTGTATCCATTCTCAGGTCAAATGCCAGTTTTCAATTATATTGGTCCCCATCTGACGACTCAGAAAAGGTTCAACTAGTAACTTTTATTCATTTGATAAAACCTTTAGAATTGCTGTGAAAATCATCATCAAAATAAAAGTTAACATTTACCCTGTTGGAGGTGATATAATTTTCTCATATTGCTGCGAAAAATGGTCAAGAATTGAGACATCATGTGGCTACTTTTCACCATATTCCTCTACAAGGTATGCTCAACCTTATTCTTCGAGTAGATAAAATCTCAAATAATATTTGGTTCTACAGAACGAAACTTGAAACTTGAATACGCTAAGCAACGTAGCTGAAATGCTTCTGTCCATCGTAGAAACTGGCATATGTGTGGACATTTCGCTTTTTGTCGAGTTTTATAACGGCCAAGAGAGATTTTTAAGCTAATTGGGGACTCAATTATATAGATTCAGAGATGAAGAAAAAAAATAGTTTCTTTTAATTTGAAGCATCTGGGGCGAAAGATTTTGAAAAGTCTCAACCCAGTAGTCAATGGAACACCAAACCAAGAATGAATTCATTGTTATAAAAGGAAGGTGCATTAAGATATACAAAAAATATATTTTGATGTTAAAAATTTATTAAAAATTTGTTTAAATAAATAAAATTATATATAAATATAAAAATATATATATAAATATAAAATAAAAATTTATTAAAAATTTATATTAAACACTGGTAAAAGTATTTGTATTTATAAATACAAAAATTATTGAAGCTGAAGAAGCTGAATAATACAGAAGAAATAAGGTAAACTAATCAAGCGAAAAGTTATATGGCTGGATTATTTAATATATTATGATTCGTTAAAGTGACTCTAAACAATACTAAATTCAACAATAAACAATACTGTACCATTTATTCCACACGATATACAAATAAATGGTGTGACTCGAACCAATTCGAATTTGGGCATTTGCTTTTGTTCATTATATACTCCACATACTTGAATACCATATTCGATGTCTTTATCGACAAGAAAATTGATAATGGAAACATTTCCTGGCGCTTTTTCTTCTTTTAATGATGAAATCTTCCATGAGACAAGTGGTGGTGTGCCCTGAAAGCTGAAGATTGGATTCCATAATGCTTCATTGATACCAAGATCTTTTAGATTATCTTACGATCATTATATAACATAATCCAGAATATTTTTAATTGCCATTTGGATTTGGATTTCATTATTTCGCTTATCATACCTTTGACTGAATGTTAAAATCTCAGTATAAAATTCAATATTCGAAGAATGGATATACAAAGATTATATTAATAAACATCTAAATTACACTAATTGGTTGAAATATTACTTGCATATTCGCTGGTCCATATCGTATATGATAATAGATGGGTTTACCAAAACCATTAACACTTTTCCACATAACGGTAGCGTTTCCGTTAGCTCCCCATACATCGATAATATCTGTGCACTGAGGTGCGAAATCGAAAATGAAATAGAGAATATTAAAAGTTGCACAGTAAATTAAATATTATATAGTAAAAAGTGGAATTAAAGACGATTTTTTCAAGCCGTTTTAGCAGTTTCCATCTTTTAAAAAAATTATTAATCCTAGCCTTGACGACATATTCTACTCGATCTGAATTTATCACAGTCCAGTTCAACTGATTGTTGTATGCTGAACGGCTCTAATCTAAGGCACTTTGGAAGTATTCGTACTTCCACCCACAAACGGCATTTTTCCTTAAGAATTTCTGCAGGTAGTGATATTCTCATTCGACCACCTCCACTAAACATTTCCTGAAAATGACTTCTTAATTTCTCTCGAGTTGATTACTAAATTATCTGCTTCGGTATGCATATAGCTATATAGCAAAGACGATCGAATATGACTTATCGAAATTTTCATATATTTCGGATTTTGCAGCCAAATCAGCGAAATGTAAAAACTTAGATAACCACTTAAGTTTAGTGGAGCGTGCCATGCAAATTGTGAAAGAAGGTATTAAAATTCATTGATACAAATTTGATTATATAAATAAGAATTTATAACTGGAAAATTACAATTGATGGCGTTGGCAATTCATCTTCAGGTGAATGACATTGAATTGGATAAACGGCGGGGCTCTCATAACCATAGATATCCGAGTCTTTATAACCTCGTGGAATTTTCCATTTTACGTATACTACGATATTCTTTTCCACATCATTGAAAGTCATTTCCTCCGTTACCACCTCAAATAAGGCTTGAATTATTGGTTGTGTTTCCATGTTTCCACACTTTATAATGTTAACTAATACAGTTTATTCAAGAAATATTTCGCTATGATGCTGAATTTTTGGAAATGAATATTTTTACAAGATGTTAAGATATAATTTCACCTCATCCACGTTGATTACGAATTCTGGTAGATTTACTGGTATAGCTCTTGGACGGTACACAATAATAGGATGTCTTGGGTCTAGTGACCTTACAATTACGATTATGCGGAACTGATAGTCACGACATGGGTCTGGAATGGCAAAAACCATTTCTGGCAGTGATGATGCACCCTGTCAATACAACTTAAAATTAAAGTGCTTCCATGTTTAGTAATATTTATTCTTCAGTTTCAAATTATTCTTGCAGTACTGTTCGATTGGCGGAGGATCAACAATTTTTATATAATATTTAGTTGGGTTTTTGTAATTAAAATATCTTCGTAACTTTGTGTTCTTTTTCATGCATTCATATTTATATTTTTCGATTACATGCTTTTTTTATTTAAAGTTGGATGCGGCCTTATAACTGCTTGGTTCCAAAGAATAAATGAAATAAATAACATTGTTAAATAGCTACATAAAATAGGTTGTCCGATAAATAATTTTGAGAAGCTTTTATCAGTCTACTTGGACACGAAATCTTCATCATTTATATATTGAGGAATATAAGGGCATGAAGAAAGTACATGCCCAGCTTAGCAAAAATAAATTCCATCGCAGCCAATCAATTAGCCAAAAAATCTAGTACGATGAATTTTAAAAGCAACACTTACAGCAAAAATCCATTCATTTGCTGATGTACTGACAGCGGATATCTCGAAAATATACATAAATGCATTTTCAACAGCATCAATTGCTATTCGAATCTTATGAGCGTCTATGTAATTTGTTTTTGCGGGTACTATATCCTCAACCATCCGTTCTAGAACTTTCCAAATTAATCTTTCATTGAAATGTAAATTTTATTTATATTTTTCGATTACATGTTAATCCATTTGCTCATCAGTATTATTGTAATTATTATTTATTATTATTGTAACCGATAAACTTCACGGAATATCGCTGAAAGAGGCAAAAGGTTTTCGAAGTTCATTATGAACTTTTCACTGAATATATTTCGACATCAGCCTAAGCTTGATTTTACCTTTTTATTTTTACTGTATCAAAGTCTGAGCGTATCTATTATGCAAATTCATATGATTTAGCCAACATAATAGCTATTCGAATGATTTAGTTGATTCGTTATACTTTCACATAATTATTCTTATTCTTACAGATATATTCTTTTAATCATTTGAAAATTCTGGCTATGATTATATATATAAGTCCATTGACTTTTCCATTAGGATTACAAGAATACAAGACTTAAGCAGAATGATATAATTTGACAGTCATTTAACTTTCACGTGAAAATTCGCATTTGTCGAGTTTATCACTTTCATTATTCTTTTTTTTTTTCAGTTTTCCTGCATTGAAAAAATTTTAAAGTTACCTTTAATCATATTTTCAAGGATACTATTGCATTGTCGATACCTGGTGTGTACAGGGCAATTGCAGTATATCGCATTTGGCTGAAAGCTGCATATATAGGTGGAAAAATGATGCGTAAAAAATGATTTCTGGAATAAAATCCTAGTTTTCATCATTGAATTATATCATGATGCATGTTAGGAGGTAAAGTGAAATGTTGCTTCGACTATGAGTTAAAGCACCATCGCTCTATCCAGCGGGTTTATTTAAACCAGAAATGTGAAATTATCAAAAAAAGGTTTTTTAGGTATTTCTACCAGTATTTGAGGCAATAAATATAATAAAGTATGAATTTTATGTCGTTAATTTCTTTCATCTCTCTTGGCATCATTTCATCTATCGTTCACTTTGTTATCCATAGTAAAGAAAAGTAAATAAAAGATAAGTGCTCAACATTCCCGGCTAGATTGGCTCAGCTGACTGTTAACACGATTAGAAATTGGAGAGTTTTGTGATAGAGAGGGTCGCCAGTGAGTGATATTGTCTTAACACTGGCTGGGCTTTCAATAATATCCATCGGTGAAATGGGTAATTGAAAATTTCTTAAGATTCATTCTCTCAAGAATCAGTTCTAAGAATCAGAAAAAAAATATATGAAGTGGTAGGGTTATTGGCATGACCTCGTATTAACTGGGAATAAAATTATAAAATTGTCACGATTGAGGACTATCTTATTGTTAAATGATCGTATTACAATGGAAATCCGTATCATAATATAATCGGCATATAAAAATGAGTAATTTACGTAATCATTTAATAATCAGCACTAGAATTATAAAATTTTATAACAATTTTAACGCCATATCACGAGCAATTCAGCCACATTTGGACGACTACACAATATTCACAGTATGGACTTTAGGGCTCACATTGAAAGATAAAATAACTATCATTTTTGCTCAATTTTAGGTAAAATTACAAACTGCTGATTTAAATTACTAATATCAAGCCAATGCAATTTCGAAAAATGAAACTAAAATGCTATTTGGATTGCTTTCGCATCGACGAAGGTGGTTCAATAATTTAACTTGAATTATTACATTTTATATATTCGATATATATTACCTAAATATCTTCTGATGCTTATTGATTTTTTCTAATATCTGGTTGTGAAAGTGATCAACTGCAACTACTAATGCTCTATATCCTTCTGATAAAAAAACATCCCAATGGAGCAGAAAACTTAATGGTGTTTTTTAATTGCACATGACAAATGATTGAACTAAAGCTGTTCAAATAATTGCGATGCGACAATGTTTTCTAGAGAATGGCTAATGAAATGCTAATTTTCAGTGGTTAAAGAAACAGGATCTCGATAAATTTTAATAATGGCCAGTTTCATTTGCAAGAACGCAGTAAAGAAAAATTTGCGCGATTTTTTTGTGAAAAATTATCACAAGAAATCATTTCAAATTGTTTTTGCTAATAATTCATAGCATTGCAAGTATTTGAAAATTCTAGGCAATTCTAGGCATCTATTTCCGCTCTCCTTGATTATGAGATTTAATTAAACTCGTAAGAGTCGTCAGAGTTTTACTCGAAAAAAGAATATAAGTGAGCCCGCAGCAAACTGGAATTTGGATTGGATATTATTTAAAACGAGGCTTGAGATGAAATCATTGCGAGTCGATGCTAAGAATTGTGGTGATTTAAAGTTAATTGTCGTTTGAGATAAGAGAACTGAAGCTTTTCATATAATGATAATGCCATTTTTCTTAATTCAAATGCTAAATTACCGCGTTTACACAATGATTTTTGTATTCTTTAAAGAACCGGTTGCCTAATTTTCAATGCCTTCAGGCTAATTAAAATTTTGCAAAATAAATATAGAAATTTTAATTTAATGAACGGTCTTTTTAATACATTTTTGCAGAGATTTTTTGTGAAAAAATAGATTTATATGGATCAAAGTGTCAGTTTAGATGAGTATAATATATAACACACTGATTTTATGGTCAGTGAGAATATCCTTGAAAAGACTGCATTAATAAAATAATAAAATGTTCCCACTTGATTTCATAATAGAAAGAATAGCAAAAGAAAGAATAAAAGTGCGATCCCATGTAACTTAAATCGTTTATATTGGGGATAGGGTGGCTCAGTGGGTTGTTGCTCGATTGGGAGCGCTGATGCTGATGAAGTTCGATTCCGAACAGGAGCAAACCTGTACAAAAATCCGGGTGATGCTGGCGACTCACCTGTACTTTTATCGCCAAAGAATTCCCTGGCACATTGTTCAATGCGCCAAGCCAGTGGAGCGAGTTTAACCAGTAATGGTGAGGACTCTTAAGAAGAAAAAGAAGAAATCGTTTATATAACCAGTAAAGGTCCATGAGGTTCAGACAATTGGCATCAATTATACAAACTATGACTTGGTCATTATAATACAAGAAGAAGACGCGATATAATTGGTCTCCTTTATAAACTATCAATGAAAAAATTGTTATTCATCAAATGATATGTATATGTATATGTAATTTTACGCATCCAAGTAAAACTGTGGTTGAATTTTCTAATTTGATTAAATTTCATTTATTCGAATTTTAAGTTTTTACTCATTTTATCAAATATTTTAAATATTTGTACTCATCAAATTACTAGCAAGAAATAAGATTTTTTAATTTGGCATTATTACAAAATGCATTATTATAAAAAAAACTTACAGTACCAGCGCTCATGCATTTTGTATAGCATTCCACAGAGCACTGTGCTCTTCTGCTGATCGCCACAGTTTGTAACAATAATACCATAAACGACAGTAATAATTTAGGCATCGCCATTGCTAAAAAAAGTAAGAATGTATTTTTATCATGAAAAACGTGCTAATCATCGCCGATTGTTTTATTGCGATTGTCTGCCAAAATTGGCGCGTTATTAGGAGTTCTGTGCAAAATCTTATCACATGGATTTAAATTTGCTTTCTGTCGTATTTAGTGACCCTTCATCCATAGCATAATTTTTGGAAATCATCAAATATTCTTAAAACGCCTTAAATATTCTTTGCTCGAGGCATAAATACCATCTTTCCTACACTGCATGTCCTTTCTTTTTTTTCTAAGAGCCCTCACCATTACTGCTTAGACTGGCTCCACTGGCTTATCGTACTGAAATGCCAGGGAGTCCTTTGAAGTTCAGATGAATCGCCAGCATCGCCGGATTTTTGAATAGGTTTATTTTTGCGAGGATATGATAGAACCTCAACATCGGCTCTCAGAATTGAGCAACAAGCCACTGAGCCATTCTGTCCCTCCTTGCCGTCCCCTACTACCTATCCTATTAAATATCAACTAATAAATAAAAAAAACGAACTCGATTAAGACAAGATACCGAATTTAGCGCATTTTAAAACAACGACTAGATTTAACCAACCAGTAACCAGTTAACTTTAAAAAAAGTTATAATAGAAATTCTTCAGCAATCACGAATTTATAAAAAAGGTGGTTATTTAAGAAATTAAATTAAATTAAACTTGAAAAATGCAAAAGAATCAGCTGGTCAACATTTTTATGTATTTCATTTTGCGGAATAATGTGCAGAAAGGAAATTTTAAAATGCATGAGAATCATGCGTGATTAGTTGTTCATAATAAATCGCTTCTTGCTATATAAAAGAAAATAGCCATTTCCATATGCAAGTCGATAATAGTGCATTGGTGGCTTAGTGCAAGATGATTACCCTCATTGAGAATCGAGAGTGATTCGGCTTTAAAAACCATGCCCCATAGGGCGTCAATATCATCGAAAGATGAAGACAATAAAGATAGAATGGCTCAGTGGATTGCTGAGTTTGGAGCGCCGATGTTGAGGTTGAATATCCGGCAGGAATAAACCTGTAAATAAATAATAAATCAATAATAATAAATCAAAAATTAGGACGATGTTGCCGACTCACTTATTCTATCGCTGAAATCAGTCCCTGGCAAAATTTGTCCAACAAGCCAGTGGAGCGAGCCTCACCAGCAGTGGTAAAATTTTTAAAAATTTATTATCGGCTATTTATCTATATGGAATTATATGTCTGAGGGATTTTAAGGGTCCCTGAGATACTTTCAAAAGGAATTTTAAGCCAAAATCATTTTCACAATATGACAATTAGTAATAATATATTAATATCAGAAAATTTATGTAGTTTTAATTGCCAATAAGATAATCATCGAAGGTATAACTCGCAGAAACAAAAATTACCATAAATTTCTAAATTTCGAAGAGCCTTGGAACAAAATATTTGGGAATTGTTCTATATCATCAAACTCGAACAAGAAGTTGAAATGAATAAGATAAAGCACCTATAAGGATTAGTTATAGTCAGATTTGCAAAATTCTCTTAAATTTTGCACAATTTTATTGATTAAAAGAAGTTATTTTAGACAAAATTCGACAAAATTATGCCCATTTCGTTCTAATCCTATTAACTGATTCGTTTCCCCTAAAATTTTACTTACGTCAATATGAAATGAGAACTCACTATTTTTACTGATACAAATCTAAAATAAGATTTAAAATTAAATAAGATTTAAATTAATCAAATATGACCATATATAATTAATCAGAACTGAAAGAATTCTGCGAAATTATCAGAATTTAATATGTTAAAATTGGGTTGCAACAAAATTCGATACAAATTCATTGGTTCTTTTGGAAACCTTTAATTACTACTGAAGATAAATAAGTGAATAGTAAAGATCTTCAGAAGATATCCAATGAATACGGCGACTATATCAACACAAAATTTTGGCATTAATCGCTTAAAAAATTGAACAAATTTGCTAGATAATTTACTGAAAAATATTTTTTGTTTGTCATGATATGTTGCATCATTAAATAATTGATAGAAAAGTTAGTGCAAAAATTCGATTAATTATATATTAATTATATTATTATCGATCTACTGTCCTTAGAAGCACGATTGCAAAAACCATTTTCCACGTTTTTTTGAAGGCATAAGAACATTGAAAAATATTTGCAATGGTTAT